AGGTTAATTAGATTGTTAACTAGAATGAGTGACTCACCTTTTGAGGACAGGCTGGACAGATTGGGCTTGTTTCCACTGGAGATTGGAAGAATCAGGGTGACTGGATTGAGGTGTATAAGATCCTGAATGGTCTTGACAAGGTGAAGGTGGAAAGCATGTTTCCTTATAAAGGATGTTTGTGGTTCAGTCCAGAACCAGAGAACACTGTTCACCTGCACATCTGCTAATGTGGTATACTGCATCCGCTGTACCCATTGTGGCCTCCTCTACATCGGGGAAACCAAGCGGAGGCTTGGGGACCGCTTTGCAGAACACCTACACTCGGTTTGCAATAAACAACTGCATCTCCCAGTCGTGAACCATTTCAACTCCCCCTCCCATTCCTTAGATGACATGTCCATCCTGGGCCTCCTGCAGTGCCACAACGATGCCACCCGAAGGTTGCAGGAACAGCAACTCATATTCCGCTTGGGAATCCTGCAGCCCAATGGTATCAATGTGGATTTCACAAGCTTCAAAATCTCCCCTCCCCCTACCGCATCCCAAAACCAGCCCAGCTCGTCCCCGCCTCCCTAACCTGTTCTTCCTCCCAACTATCCCCTCCTTCCACCTCAAGCCGCACCCCCATTTCCTACCTACTAACCTCATCCCGCCCCCTTGACCTGTCTGTCCTCCCTGGACTGACCTATCTCCTCCCTACCTCCCCCCCTACACTCACCTTTACTGGCCCTATCCCCGCCTCTTTGACCTGTCTGTTTCCTCTCCACCTATCTTCTCCTCTATCCATCTTCTATCCGCCTCCCCTTCTCTCCCTATTTATTTCAGAACCCCCTTCCCCTCCCCCATTTCTGATGAAGGGTCTAGGCCCGAAACGTCAGCCTTCCTGCTCCTATGATGCTCCTTGGCCTGCTGTGTTCATCCAGCTCTACACCTTGTTATCACAGATTTTCCAGCATCTGCAGTTCCTACTATCTCAGAATAGAGGCACGGGCTATTTTCTGAATGGGGAGAAAATTCAGAAGTCTGAAGTGCAAAGAGACTTGGGAGTTCTAGTCCAGGATTCTCTCAAACTAAATTTGCAGATTGAGTCAGTAGTTTGGAAGCCAAATGCATCTTTGGCATTTATTTTGAGAGGACTTGAATATAAAAGAAGGGATTTACTTCTGAGGCTCTACAAGGCTCTGGTCAGGCCACATTTGGAGTATTGTGCGCTGTTTTGGGCCCCATATCTCAGGAAACCCTGGAATGGGTTCAGTGGAGGTTCATGAGAATGGTGCCAGGAATGAAAAGTTTAACATCTGAGGATCGTTTGAGGACTCTGGGTCTATACTCGATGGGGTTTAGAAAGATGAGGGGGGATCTAACTTAAACTTACAGAATACTGAATGGCCTGGACATAATGGATGTTGGGAAGATGCTTCATTTGGTGGGAAAGACTAGGACCCGAGGGCACAGCCTTAGAGCAAAGGGAGGACCTTTTAGAGTGGAGATAGGAGAAACTTCTTCAGCTAAAGAGTGGTGAATCTATGGAATTCACTGCCAGAGAAGGTTGTGGAGGCCAGATCATTGAATACATTTAAGATGGACACAGATAGGTTCTTGATTGTCAAGGGGATCAAGGGTTACAGGGAGAAGGCAGGAGAATGGTGTTGAGAACCCTATCAGCCATGACTGAATGGCGGAGCAGACTCGATGAGCCAAATGGCTTAGTTTCTGCTCCTATGTCTTATGGTCTTAGGTGGACCCAGCAGTCAAAAAGAACACCATGATTGCAAATAATCTGAGTCAGTCTGAGACTGTGACTAGTCAGTGACAAGACTTTTGAGTTTGTAGTGCGGATTGGAAGTAACAGCTTCAGTCTTTCACATCATTCCATGTCCACATGGAGGATTCTATCTGGGTTCTATGTCAGCAATTTGACAGTAAACAGACCTGAATGGGTCGAGGGAGGTAATGCAGAGGTGGAGCTGTGTGCACATATGGAAGCTGACATCATGTCTTCTGGATGATATCTCCATAAAGGCAGCATGTAGACAAGGAGGAGTATGAGGTTGAGGATAAATCCTTGGAAGATTCCAAAGGCAACAGTATAATGGGAGGAAGAGAAGTCATTCCTGGAGATGCCTGGTTATGATTAGGTAGATGAGAATGAAACCAACCAAGAACAGACCCATGGAGGTAAATAGAGGAGAGGGATATTGGAAGAGTATGCTGTAGTTAACTGTGTCAAAGCATGCTGGTAGGGTGGGTGGCAACAAGAGGAATTTGGCACCATTAGCCTTACGGGATGCCAGTTGTACTTTATCAAAGGTAGAAACCTGATGGACAAGATTCAAACTTGAAGTTTTAATTCCTGTGGAATGATGAAAGAGGGTGGAATCAGACTAAAACATCAATTAATTAATGACAATACAAAGATACTTGAGGGCTTTAAGGTTACATTTGAGAGTGGAAGAGTTTCAGCAGAAGCCCAAAAGTGCTAGCTTGATCTAGCAAGATGTGGCGACAGGCATACTCTGTGTTAGATATTTACAAATCTTTGATGTTCACTTCCACAGAGTAAGGATGGGTCTGCACTGGGTGATCTACTAGGCTCAGACTATTCTATAACACTCCTGAATGATTTCCCATTTTCTACCCACTTATCCTTCATGTCCTAATACACATTGAGTCCATTTCGGCTATCACTCCTCTGCTTGTTGACATATACTGGTTCCCAATTAAGCAACATTTCCATATTAAAATCCCTCCATGGCCTTGACCTCCCTATCTCTGTTATCTCCTCCAGCTCCACAGCCCTCCAATATATCAATTCTCCTAAATTCTAGCCTCTTGAGGAATCTCATCTTTCCACCACTGATGCCTGTGTGGTTAGCTGCAAAAACCCTCCCTAATTCAAAGGACAGAATATGCACATGCATACAGCGGGAGCATGTGCAGTGGAAATATAGGTAGTCAGGGAGATGGAGAGAGTTGATTGTGAATAAACAATGACTTATCCAGAAATCAACTTGAAGTTGGCAGTAGTCTTAGTGGCATACTGGCAGATTCCATATGCAGGAGGAGCAGTGGAGGTGTGACCCACAATAACTGAGACCATTTCTGGGAGATATAATGCAGCAACTCATCATGGCTCCTTTGCCAGCACTTTCCAAATCTGTGATGTCTACCATCTTGAAGGCGAAAGGTAGTAGGTTCTTGAGAATGCCACTAACTGCAAATTGTCTTCAAACCACACCACATCCTGACTTGGAACTACATCATTATGTCTTCACTGTCCCTGGGTCAAAATCCTGAAATTCCAATCAACAGCACTGTGGGTGTTTCAATCCCACATGGACTGCAGCAGTTCAAGAAGGTCATTTTTTCAAGGGCAAATGGGGATGAGCAATAAATTCTGACCTTGTGAGTGGTGCCAATATCCTGTGTATGAATACACATAAAAGATTAAAAAATTAATAAATTAATTTGACATGACGGCTATGCAAGTGGATCAGAGTTCAGTTTTTAATTAGCTGAATGTGATACAAGAAGTATTGTGAAAAACAACAAGAAAGGACATTACTACCTCACCCCTCCCTCAATCAAGTGGTCTCAATTCTGCTGAATGATGTCAAGCTTTCTCTGTGTTGTTGGAGCTGCACTGATCAAATTAAATAGGAAACATTGTGCTTTGCAGATGGTGAAAAGTCCTTAGAAAGTCAGGAGGTGAGTTAATCCATGCATGATTCCTAGTTTGTGACCTGCTGTAGTAGTCATGGTATTTATTTGACAGATCCCTTTACATTTCTGGCCAATAGTGATGTGGTGGTGGTGGTGGTTTTGGTTATGGTAATACTGTTAAACATAAAGGGAAGATGGCATGATTGATTCTTGTTGATGATCATCATAACCTAGCACTTAGCTGGTACAACAAACAGTCCAATGTGGTCTTGGGCTTGCATGCAAATAAGGACTGCTTCATTTTCAAAGCAGTGGGAATAGAACTGAACACCGTGTAATCATCAGAGAACATTCCCTCTTCAGACATTGTGGAGGGGAGGTTGTTGGTACATAGCTTACTTGAAATTAATGCTGACAGACCTGCTGAGTATTTCCAGTGTCTTATGTTTTATTTCGAATTTCCAGCATCTGAAGAATTTTGCCCTTTGAAAACTTAAATGCCTGGCCTGTTTATTTTTGGTTAAGGATTCATGTGAACAAAAATGCTGACTTCTTGGATGGTAAACTCTCGATTGGGGGAATCTGAAATTGACTCCTGAGTTAGTTGTGGGCTTTTGGTGAGCAGCGGTTATTTTTGTTTATATTGAAATGGGCACTGAACATTTATTTCTAGTAGCCCGTTTCAAAAACAAAATTTCAAAGACAAGCTTTACAGGCCAATATTGGATCAACATTTTCGTTATATTTGTCAATTCTTGCTCCCATAAATTTATCGCAGGAAGAATTGATTTAAACAAAACATAAGTATTTTAAGAACCGTGTCTTCTGGATTCGTTTGTTGAATAAAAAAGAAACACCGATAATGCCACTTTGTTAATTATAATCGTGGAGCACACAATGTTACTGTCAGTTTGCTATTTTGAATGCATGTTGGCTCACTAAGAGAAAGCTGAGCTTCTAATGGGAAATTGCAATGAGTTCCCAGAGCGGTTAGTGTCGCGGGTGATGACAGAGTGAAAACAAACATCTCTTGATCCTGTTTGTGGGTTTATTTAGAGCGACGTGGCAGGTGATGAATGAAAAGTTATGTGGGGCAGAACTAATTGTATACACAGGAAATGGCACCACAGTTAACCAGTTCCTTAATCCTGGTGACACCTATTTACATCTCGGGCAGAGCATTTCACATTTTACTTCTTCAAAATAAGTCGAGACAGGCCTTGGTTCATTAGCGGTCGGAGAAGGAGCATGTTATAAAACTACACAGGCTGACTCGGGCAGTGGACCGTAAACACCTTGCTATTTCAGAGGCGGCCGCACACCACTTTCTGCCCCAGGCTGCGGCTCGATCTTCCTGGGTTGCTCCCTGGACGCCTCTCCCATGAGCGGTGCCGTTCCCGGAAGTATCTGCGGAGGCTCCACGTCTGCCCCAGATTTCCCCAGCCCAGCCTGTTTGCCCCCAGCAGCCTGCTTCACTCAACCCAGATCAGGATTTATTGAACGACTTTTGTCTGTGAATTGGTTTGTATTCAATTCCAAGTTTTAAACTGCGAGTTACATAACTCCTGTTTACCCAGTATGAACATCATCGCGATTAACTCGAGGATATAAATCTAAATGGAAACTGCATGTTGATGGAAGTGGGGATGGTGTCCAGATTGTTTCTGATATCCCCCCACAAGAAGATGAGCCAATTCCACTGGCAGCTCTGTCTGGGGTGGTTGATGATCCTGGTAAGTGATATTCAACAGGGATTGGAGACGTACTGTCCAAAGCGTACTCTTTTCACGGTTCTGATGTATATCCAATTAATTGGTCTGGAAATTGCGGTAAGAAGAACAGTGAAATAGCCCTGTTCTCTGTCATTACCCCTCTGAAATTTACAGCAACTTCTACATCCATACATGCCCAGTTACACACACCAATTCAGAGGTCACTCCTGCTGCTCCAGCTTCTCCGCGCTGTTCACTTGTTGCTGACACCTGTTGAGTATTTCCCAGTTTGCGCTATCAGTCTCGCTGCAAACAAAAAAGAACTTTGAAAACGTTATTGCTTTTGACTAGAACGGCAGCTCATTCTGGCAACTCCGAGCCTTAGCGGCTGCTGGACCATAGGAGCAGCCGCTGGCCATTCCCTGGATTTGTCCCTATGGGATAGTTTTATTTCTTTCACAGTCGCTGGCTGGCGGCCAGTCGGGACGCCCATCCCTAATCGCCCTGGAGAAGGTGCTGGTGAGTTGCCTTACGTGTGATATAGGTACCCCCACCCCCCACCTCAGAACTGCTGGGATGAGATTGAAACAGCAATAGAAGCCAGAGTCTTTGAATACTTTTCAAGCGGAACTAGTTTCTTGACCATCTTCTCTCTAAACTGGAGCTGTGCAGCCGTTGGGAAGTTCTGCGCATGTTGAACACATATAGATGCACGACTTTAGCGTATTGACCTTGGAAAGCCACGCAGCAACAAGAAAAATTACAGATAACATTGTTTTTGACTTAACAAGAGGTGAAAGGTTATCCAGGGTTAGACAGTAATGTGGAGTCACCAAATCAGCCGTGATTGTAATGTATACAGTAGTAGTCTTGAGGAGTGGTCTGCCTACTCTTGCTCGGAATTTATATGTTGTTCCAATGTGTGGAAGCGAATTCCAATATTTTGACTTTGTAATGGTTAAGGAACAAGGATACGATACCAGGTGAGGATAATGTGTGGCTTGAAGGGTAACTTGCATTGTTCCCGAGCATCCGTTGCCATTGCAGATGGTAGAGATTATGGGTTTGGACAGCCCTGTGAAAGGAAGTTGGTGAGTTATTGCAGTGCATCTTAATATACAGTACACCATTGCGTGGTGTTGGAGGGATTGATTGTTTATGGTGATCGATGGGATGACCAACAAACTAGCTACTTCATGCTGCTGTGGAGTTTGAGTGTTGTTGGTGTTGCACTCATCCAAGCAAGTCGAAAGTATGCCATCACATTCCTGATTTATGCCATTTGGATGGTGAATAATCTTTGGCAAACCAGGAGCTGAGTTACTTGCTTGAGAATTCCCAATCTCTGACCTTCTGTTGTAGCTGTATTTATGTGGCTACTCCAGTTCAGAGTCTGCTTAGTGGTATCTTCCAGGATGTTGATAGTATGGGATTCAGTGACAGGGATGCCATTGAATGTCAAGGGGGTGATGGTTGGATCCTGTCTTGTTGGAGATGGTCATCGGCTGGCACTTGTGTGGAGTGAATGTTACTTGCTACATCAGCCCACGCCTGGATGTTGTCTCTTTTATATTCCTTTTTAGTATTAAGTTCCTTAATTTTAACAAACATCTTTTGAAATCATCCCTTACACTGAAATTATTTTCCCTATTATTTTCTTAAGGAACACATCAAATTTGCCAAGTATCAAATTGGTCACTTTTTAAACAAATCTTCAAGTTTTCTTTAATAATTTATGACTTTCTAATAATTTAATCCTACAATGTCGCTGCTCCAATTTTACTTGCGATTGATGTCAGATTTATCTTTGTGCCTATTGTTGAAAGGAGCAGCGACAGTAACGGCCTGTCCATTTTCTGGCATGATTTGCATGTGCAAGCTCTTGAACACATGATCCAGCTGTCAGTACAGTACTAAGGAAGTGATGAATCTTCAGAAATGTTACTCATCAGATGAAATGTTAAGCATCCTGTTCAGGTGTTCATTAACAAGATTCTGTGGGATTATTCAATCATGACAAATTCACTTTCCTGTTCATTTCAATTTGCCAAGACACAAGTGTAACTTTCTGGGTAGGAAGGCAGTGCAGAGGAAAGTTGTAAGGCTGATTCCTAACATCAAAGCACTTAGTTATAAGGACATACTGGAGAAACATGGACGTTTCAGTCTTGAAGAGCACATGAAATATCAAGTTTCAGAGCAAGGAAAAAATGGTACTTAAAAGGTACATTCAGAAAAAAAAAATTTGAAACTACCCCACAGAGAACCATGATAGCTCAGTGGTTAGCAGTGCTGCCTCACAGTGCCAGGTACCCAGGTTCAATTCAAGCCTTGGGCAACAATCTGTGTGGAGTCTGCACATTCTCCCTGTGTCTGTGTGGGTTTCCTCTAGGTGCTCCAGTTTCCTCCCACAGCCCAAAGATGTGCAGGTTAGGTGGATTGGCCATGGGACATGCAGAGTTACAGGGATAGGGTAAGGGGGCAAGTCTGGGTGGGATTCTCTTTGGAGGGTTGGTGTGGACTTGTTGGGCTGAATGGCCTGTTTCCACACTGTAGGGTTTCATTCTATTCAACTGAACTTCAGCCCCCCAAAAGACTGACTCTCTACATTAAAAGAGCAAAGAACTGCGGATGCTGGAAATCAGAAACAAAAACAAAAATTGCTGGAACTGTTCAGCAGGTCTTGCAGTACCTATGGAGAGAAAGCAGAGTTAACATTTCAGGTCCAGTAACCTTTGTTTTTGGAACTAATGTTCTGACTATTGAGGGAGTGCAAAGAGGGTTTAACAGACTGATCCCTGAAATGGCAGGACTGATGTACTGGGAGAGACTGGATTAGTTAGAACTGTTTTCACTAGAGTTTAGTTGAATGAGGAATGGATAAAATTCTAACTGGGTTAGACTGGATAGATGCAGGAAGGAGATTCTCAGTGACTGTGGAGTCTGCAACCAGGGATCACTTTCTAAAGGTAAAGGCCTTTTAAGACAGAGATAAGGAGATATTTCTTCACTGAAAATGGTGAACCTATGGAATTCTCTGACATTAGAAACTGTTGAGGTCAAAATATTGAAGACTGTCAAAAAGAGTGTAGGTGTTGTTCTTTCGACTAAAGGGATCAAAAGGATATGGGGAGAAAGCAAGAACAGGGCCTTGAATTGGATGACCAGCCAAGATCACAGTTGAATGACGGAGCAGGCTAAAAGGCTTGAATGGTCTATTCCTGCTCCTATACTCTACATTTCTATTGATCCTCCCCACTATTCTTTTACAAATGCTTTATCATTCTTTACATTCTGATCAATCACCTGACATGCCACTGATATTTGTTCAGTTGTAAGCATTTTCCTTAAGCTTATTGCTTTCCTTAACTTCTTTAATTGACCATAGATAGGGACCCACCCTTTAGAATGTTTCCTTACTGTAAGCATATTTAGTACTTATACATACTTATTTTGAAATATACCCTTAAATATCACTTCTGCCGTGGTGCACCTAATAATCTATACTGTAGCCTACTGTCCTAGTTCACTTCAGTTAACTCAGCTTTCATGCCCATGTAGTTTTTGTTATTTAAGTTTGAATAGTAGTCATAAACCAAATTTTCTCGTTTTCAGACTGAATAATGTTCGATCATATTGTGATTACTACTATCTAGAAGTGCCTTAACTTCAAGGTTATTATTCAATCCTGTCATATTACACAACGCAGAGTCTAATGTAAGCTGCTGTCTTGTCACTGCAGAGCACAGCAGGTGAATATTTTTTCCCTACCGGAAACATTTCAGCAGTGTCAGTTAGATTGTGGCAATGCCAATGCTCATCGTAATCCAGAGAACATAATTGGAGGTTGTGAAATTCATACATTCAATCTAAATTTATCTGAGTAAAATGTACAAATCCCTGCTTCAGATTTTGTTTGTTACAGTGCAGCATTGATGACAACATTAACATTTGCCTGCTTTTAAGTTTTATTTTGTTGTATTTTTCTTATTTTGTTGTACTGATTCATCTGGCTAGCTGATTAGAAAATACTGAAGGGCCATTTCAGTTGATATATGTGTTTTCAAAGATCAAAAATGCTAAGACTTGATATAAAAATGTTACACAATATTAATGTTGTTCAGGTGATGAACTTGATAGAAATTTGCTTATTTTTTTTCCAGATGCCAGCATCTTTACACAGTGCAATTACGACACAAACAACCTCCATTTTGAAATCTTCAACAGACAGACAGCAAAAAGATCTCATTAGATTTACTAATGCAACTGACATGGTAGTAGCTGACTACAAACTTTCCATTGAATATTTGTGCTCTGAGCCAAGTACTATTCATTTCGAGGTGATAGTTTCAACTGATGTTAAAAGTGGAACCGTCATTTCCAGGAAAAGATGGAAATGTGAGAAACGTCTTAACACCTTGAGAATTCGGACTCTGTGGGTGAAATTTCCAAACATCATGTTATACAGACCTGATTATGTGCTTCGACATTCTATTGTCATCAGCTATGTAATGTTAAGAGCTTGGATTATAAATAATGGTTTTGGAGCTCGTGAGAGTCACAATCTGTTTGTTTATGAACAAGCTACAACAAGAACCTACAAGTTTCTGAAGACATTAAGTCCTTTTGAAAGGCCTTATAAAGATCATAAAGAATGCCTTCAGTGGGACACAGAGAAGATACGGGCAATTAAAGAAAGGAAAGTACTCCAGTGTTTGCTTGACAGTGGTATGACCATTTTTTCTCACTTACTTTATTTAACTATATGTAAATATAGAGAGCATGCTTGTGCTACTTAAAAGTGATCTGCTCTGAACCCATTTCTTTGGGTCATGTTTCTTCCACACAAGAAAATAATCATTTTGCTCATGTGTTTCTTTGGGTTCTCTTTAATGCAGAGATGTACTCAGCTTCAATAAACTTTTCTAGAAATATAGTTATATAAGCAGTTATAAAATCTTGAATATTTCCCAAGAAGTCCAATTTAATCAAAGTAATTTTAAAAATTTCAAAATCATTTAAAATGTTTTGGATGTGCCAACCTATTATTTAGGTCATATTTTTGCTGATTGTTCTTCCTGCTTTAATTCTCAGCTTTGCATTACCCATATAAGAAAATCATGTATGAAAGAAGCATTGACAAATGTTTTATTTTTATTGTATGCATCAGGTGGAATTTATGTCTTCACTCCGTGGATGGTAATCTAATGAATTGGTCATCTGTCTGTTATAGAATCCATGTGATTTTCATTCCACTAGGACATTGTCCAGGTGACAAAGATAAACATTGACTCCAACTTTACAATAATACCAAAGTCAGAAAGGATCTAATGAAATGAATCCTATTTTATAAAGTTGACAATGTTATACCATTCAAAAAATATTTAGACATCCTGTTTCAATCAAAATATTCCAATTTTTCAAATTGAGTTCGAAGAACCCAAGAAAACCTCAACTTGTAGAAAGATTCAGATTCTTATTTTTGCTGTTTTGTAATGCTTGTTCAGTGTGGTAGATTGCAAACTGTTTTAGAATTTGTGCACAGTTATTATTTTCTAGATTCGGTGAATGTAAGATATGATACCTCTCCCCACTTCAGCCATTGCTTTCTCAGATTTTATCCTGTTTCAGGTTAAAGTTTATATGGGAACCTATTTTACTGGATTTGCCTGTGTGCATGTCACTGAAGTTCAAATATAGTTCACTGTGTGAACTACTGAGGCCTATTGTAGCATGATGTGATATACCATCAATGTTCACACGTCTTTCTTTCTCCATTGTGCTTTCAATAAAATCTTGCCCCAAACTAGAAACTTTTTTTTTAAAAGCCATTCAGACTTGTATCAATTGTAGGCTGTGAAGTTACTTACTTGTAGTTTGATGTAGGGTTTGTCATTTATTTTAGAGATTGGATTTTGAATTAGTGGCATGTTGATTTTAAATTATGCGCATGAGAAGGTTTAATAATTAATTTTTCAGACTTTCTGGATCCATGATTTTTAAACTAGCGTGTGAGAGAGAGCAGCTTCTGGAGTGATAATGGAAATTTGTTTGCAATGTGAGAGTTTTACAGTCAAAGAGTGTAAATACTAAAAAAATACACGTTACCTCAGAGCAATGGTTTTAGTTTGAAAAATTCAGATCAGATGTGTTTGGTTAGAAACCTGCTTTTGGTTATTTGAAGCCAAAAATATTTAAGCTCAGTTATGTGACGGATCAAGGAAAAGGCTTTCAAGGCCCCAAGACCAGAAATTGAAAATAACAGTAAATTCAAACCTATGGATATGATAGAATAGGGAACACTCTCTGATATTTGAGCACTGCAATGGTTTTGGAATGAATAGTATTTTTATTTCACGATGTGCTTTGAAATGTTTCAAGTTGTGTGATGTGTAAATAGCTTGATTTACTCTATATTATCTTCATATCTGTTGCATTATAAGCTTCAGTTTATTGTTAAAACCAAATCTGCTGCATAGCATTGCAGTTTTGTGCTTCAGTGAAATATCATCATGTTAAACAATAAAAGAAAAGATTTATCCAGATGGATTTCACACTGAGATCTGGATTTCAGTCTGAGATCTGATATGTCCATTGGTAACATCAACTGGGTTCATACAGTAGCATTCTTCAAAATCAGTTGGAGTGGTGTTCTTTCCTTTGCACTAATTTGTTGTATGAGGTGAATTAACAGGCTAAACCAATGACAATTTTGGGGCATATCTTCCAAGGAGCAGCAATGATCTTCAGATTGAGCTCTGTATTTCAGTCCAAATCTTTTGATTCCAGCTTCTTCGGATAAGGGAAGCGGTCATCCATTGAATTGCTTCCTTCTCGTGCTGAAACTCCAACTAGGGAATTGTGGGGGAAGACCTCATAGAGTCCTTCAGCTGTACTGCACAGAAACAGACCCTTTGGTCCAACTTGTTCATGTCGAACAGAAATCCTAAACTAATCTAGTTCCTTGTGCCAGCATTTGGCCCATATCCCTCTAAATCCTTCCTATTCATGTACCCATCCAGATGCCTTTTAAATATTATAAATGAGCATTCTACCACTGAACAACCCATTCCAGCGCCCTGGCATGCCCCCTACTTATGGCATTAGAAACATAGAAAATAGGAACAGGAGTAAGCCACTTGCTCCTTTGAGCCTGGTCAGCCATTCAATTTAATCATGGCTGATCATTCACTCCCTAGTTCCTGCTTTCTATCCATATCCTTTGATCCCTTTAGCCTAAGAGATATATCAAATTCCTTCTTGAAAACATTCAATGTTTTGACTCAACCACTTTTTGCAGCAGAGAATTCCACAGGCTCATCATTGTGAAGAAATTTCTCCTGATTTTAGACCTGAATGGTCTACCCATATCCTTACAATGTGGCCCCTGGTTCTGGCTTACCCAGTCATCGGGAGCATCCTTCCTGTGATCACCCTGTGTAGTCATACTAGAACCTTATAGGTTTCTGTGAGATTCCCCTTCATTTTTCTAAATTCGAAAGAATATAGTCCAAACCAAACATACGTTAGTCTTGCCATCCCAGGAAGCAGCCTGGTAAATCTTTATTTCACTTTCTCCATAGCCAGAAAATCCTTTATCAGATAAGGAGATCAAAACTGCATACGGTATTCCTGGTGTTGTCTCAACAAGGCTCTGTACAATTGCAGCAAGACATCCCTGCTCCTGCAGCTGGGAATCTCCTGAATCTAGGCCCTGAGCCTGGATTCTTGGCAGTGGGGTGCCCGAAGTAGGGACTCCAGGCGGCAGTAGGACTGGGTCCTGTACTCTTGGTGGTGTTGGTGAGGGGTGGCAGCAGCTGAGCTGGGGTATCCTGGGGTATTGGTGTCATCATTGCTGTTCCCAGAAAGGGTCTCCTTGAGGACAGAACACCTTTCAGAGATCTTGCAGAAGCCCTGAAGCCATGCTTGAGACCCCAACGTGAAAAATAGATGAACTCATTTATATAAATGATTTGTATGTGAACATGGGGGTATGGTTAGAAAGTTTGCAGATGACACCAAAATTGGGGTGTAGTGAGCAGTGAAGAAGGTTACCTCAGAGTACAATGGGACCTTGATCAGATGGCCCAAGGAGTGGCAGATGGAGTTTATTTTAGATAAATGTCAGGTGCTGCGGTTTGGAAAGGCAAATCAGGGCAGGACTTATACACTTAATGGTAAGGTCCTGGGGAGTGTTGCTGAACAAAGAGACCTTAGAGTGCAGGTTCATAGTTCCTTGAAAGTGGAGTTGCAGGTAGATAGGATAATGAAGAAGGCATTTGGTATGCTTGTCTTTATTGGTCAGTGCATTCAGTTAGGAGGTCATGTTGTGACTGTGTAGGACATTGTTTCGGCCACTTTTCGAATACTGCGTTCAATTCTGGTCTCTCTGCTATAGGAAGGATGTTGTAAAACTTGAAAGGGTTCAGAAAAGATTTACAAGGATATTGCCAGGGTTGGAGGGTTTGAGCTGTAGGGAGAGGCTGAAGAGGCTGGGACTATTTTCCCTGGAGCATCAAAGGCTGAGGGGTGACCTTATAGACATGCATAAAATCATGAGGTGCATAGTTAGGGTGAGTAGTCAAGGTCTTTTCCCCGGGGAGGGGAGCCCAAGAGTTTAAGGTGAGAGGGGAAAGATTTAAAAGGGATCTAAGGGGCACCTTGCTCATGCAGAGGGTGGTGCATGTATGGAATGAGCTGCCAGAAGAATTGGTGGAGGCTGGTACACTTACAACATTTAAAAGGCATCTGGATGGGTATATGAATAGGAAGGGTTTAGAGGGATATGGGCCAAATGCTGGTAAATGGGACTAGATTAATTTAGGATATCTGGTCGGCATGGACGAGATTGACGGAAGGGTCTGTTTTCATGCTGTACATCCCTATGACTCCAGGTAATTTTCTTTTACCCTTATTATATCTCAGAATGGTGCCAGATTGTGGAGACAAAACACTTTTCACTGTAACTTCAAGATATATGTGACAACAAATCATTCATTCACTCATTCATTCTGAAATCCTTACAGTATTAAGGCCAACATATCATTTGCCTTCTTCGCTACCTGCATGCTTACTTTCAGTGACTGGTGTACAAGGACACCTAGGTCTCATTGCACCTCCCTTTCTCAATTTATCACTATTCAGATAATAATTTGCCTTTCTGTTTTGCTGCTGAAGTGGACAATCACACATTAATCCACATTGTTATCTGCCAGCACTTGCCCATTCACTCAACCTGTTCAAATCACACTGACACACCTCTGCATCCTCCTCCCAGCTCACCCTTCCCTTGTCCAAATCATTCATATATATCATGAATAGCTGGTGTCTAAGCACTGATCCCTGTGGAACCCAATTACACTCCCTGCCATCAGAAAAATGCCCATTTATTCCTAATCTTTGTCTCCTGTCTGTCGGCCAGTTCTCTGATCATGTCAGCACATTACCCCAATCCTGTGCATTTCAATTTTACATGCTGATGTTATATGTGGGACCTGATTGAAAGCCTTCTGAAAGTCTAAATAAACCACATCCCTGAGCTTCCCCTTATCAATTCTACTAGTTACATCATCAAAAAATTCCATTGGATTTGTCAAGAATTTTGTAAATCCGTGCTGGCTGTTACTGATTCTGTCACTGTTTTCCAAGTGCTCTGCTATTAAATCTTTTACAACAGACTATAGCATTTTCCTTACTACTGATGTCAGCCTAACCAGTCTATAAATACCTGATTTTTCACTATTTTCTTTTTTAAATAGCGAGTTACATTAGCTACCCTCCAATCCACAGGAATTGTTCCAGAGTCTATAGAATCTTGAAAAATGACCATCAATGCATTCACTAATTCTAGGCCACTTTCTTAAGTACTCTGGGTTGTAGATTACCAGGCGCTGGTATAATCCCATCAATTTCCCATTGTGAAATCTGCAAACCTGGAGATATTACATTTAGTTCCCTCAACTAAATCATTGAGATATTATGAATATTGATTTCCTTCAGTTCCTTCCTCTCACTAGACTCGGTGTTCCCTGATATTTTTGGGATGTCATTTGTATCCTCTTTGTGAAAAAAAGAACTAAAGCATGTCTTTAGTTGGTTCCCCATTATAACCTCTGACTAAAATGGGCCTACATTTGTTTTCATTGTTATTTTTCTCCCTGTGAATAGATTTACTGGAGCTCCTTTCTGTCAAAGGATTACTGTGTTTTGGACACATTTATATGGGCTGATTAACTTTATTTCTTCTAGATATTGTTGAACTACTTCGTTTTCCATTTGCATCATCTGGTTTGAATTTTGGCCTAATAAGGAAACTAAAAAAATTTACTAACTTTGAAATGGAAGTGGCAAGTAAAGATCTTCTTAATAATCCAAGGTATGTCCTACAACTCAGAATATCCAAAATTATACCCTTGACATTAATTCTTATGATTTATAATTCTCACTTCCTATTTGCTTGCATCAGAGAACAGCACAAACTATCTTTGTAGTTTAAAATAGTTCGGTAACTAATGTGGATTTGGTTCACTAATTAGACATAGCAGAAGGTTTATCATTTGAATGGAAACTTATAATAAGGCTTCAAATACAGTAAATACAGCAAGATATATCTTAAAATCTGCCTCCTTGAACAAGCATATGGCCAAAACCACTAATATTGCCTTAATCAATTGCATGTCTAATTTTGTCTTGTAATGTTCCTGCAAAACTCTTTGGGATGTTTTATTACTTCAAAGTTGCTATATAAATATTAGTTGTATATCCTTGAGATATCTTTTTTCTCAGATTAGGCTATATTTTGCTTAACATTATTCATAGAATGTTCCTGTTGTGTAATATAATCAGGTTTTTTTCCTCTAATTTTATTGGATAGGTTCACTGTGTCCATCTGGCTTTTTGTGCTTCATGATTGTAAATGGCCTCTCTGTGGGATCTTTCATCACATCAATGACAAACAGATCTATGCCACCCCATTGCTGTTTCTAACTCAAGATGGTAAGCCATGCGTCAGTGACGTTCTGAAATTGCCAGATACACTTGATTCAAAGCAATCGCAGTGCTGTAATAGAATTAAATTGCTACTTTGAGTTTTCCCTTTGATGAGTAGGTAACAGTGAGAGAATGAGAGGGGAAGTTATCGGAAGCACCGTCATATCTGTTTAGGGACAGGTAGGAGTGGAACAAGTGGAGGTTGCTGCAGATAAAGAGTACAAAAGAAAAGTGGTATGATATGTAGAGGAAAGAGTAGTTACTTGTGGAGAAGATTAGAAGGAATTGCCCACTACAATTGCTGCACCTACCATGGTTTCTGTGCTTGAACAGCTTATGGTAATTTTAACCAGTACAGATTTGGTCCTGTTGAATCCTAGGTTGGAACAACTAAACAGGATGTGGTGAGTGAAGTGGCATGTACTGGATGACATTAACTCATTCTAGGTCGGAGTTGAATATTAATCAAGGCGATGAAGTCATAAATTGTCCACATTCTGTGATCCCATCTCTGACCTGGAGGAACCCATGCTCCCTATTTTGATACCAGGGAGGTAAGCATGGGTGGAAAACAATTGTCTGGCCAATTGTTCAAACAACAGAGGTCTCAGTGCTGATCCTTGTGGAACACTGCTGATTATAGACCTCCAGTCAGTAAAACACCCTCCACAACGACCATCTGTCTTCCATGGCCAAGTTAATTTTGTATCCAACTTAACAACTCACCACGGATCCCATATGACTTAATCTTCTGGACCAGCCTACCATGAAAGACCTTATCAAATGTTTTAGTAAAGTCTATACAGACAACATCCACTGCCCTATCTTCATCAATCATCGTTGACACTTCCTCAAAAAACTCAACCAAGTTTATGAGACAAGACATCTCCCAAATAAACCCATGCTGAATATTCCTAATAAGTCTTTTCTTTTCCAAATGCATATAAATACTGTCCCTAAGAACTTTCTCCAATAATTTCTCTATCACTAATGTAAGGCTCACTGCCTTTAATTTCCTGGATTATCCTGCACAAAAGAACAACGTTGGCTTTTCTCCAGTCTTCTGAGATCTCACCTGTAGCTAAAGAGGATACAAAGATCTCTGCCAAGGTCCCAGCAGCCTCCTGCCTTGCTCCCCTCAGTATTCTGGGATAGATCCCATCAGGCCCTGGGGACTTATCTACCTTAAAGTTTTTCAAGACACCCAACCCACCTCCTCCTTAAGATCAATTTGCCCCAGCATATCAGCATACCCCTCCCTAATCTTACCATCATCCATGTCCTTCTCCTTGGTGAATGCCAATGCAAAGTACTCAGTAAGGATCTCACCTGCTTTCTCTGGCATCATACATAAATTCTGTCCCTTGTCCTTGAGTAGACTTATCCTCTCCCTACCAACCCCCTGCTCCTAATATATGTAAAATGCCTTGGGATTCTCCTTAACCCACTTGCCAAGGACATTTCATGGCCTATTTTAGCCTCATAATTCTTTGTTTATGTTCTTTCCTGTTTCTTTTATATTCCTCAAAGGCCTTGTCTGATTTCAGTTTCCTAAATGTTACCTACATTTCCTTTTACTTTTTGACTAAACTTTCAATACCTCTTGTCATCCAAGGTTCCCAAATCTTGCCATCCTTATCTTTCAACCTCACAGAAACATGCTGAGCTGAACTATGATCAACTGGCTTTTAAAATACTTCCACATGTCAGATGTGGAATTACTCACAAACAGCAGCTCCCAGTCTAATTTCTCTAGTTCCTACCTAATGCTGTTGTAAGTAGCCTTCCCCAGTTTAGAACTTTCACCCGAGGACAGGAATTATCCTTATCCATTAATAACTTAAAACCTACGGTATTATGATCACTGTTTTCAAAATGTTCCCCACTGAAACTTCGATCATCCTGCCAGGCTCATTCCCCAGTACAAAGTCTAGTACAGCTCTTTGCCTAATTGGACTAGCCATATATTGCTTCAAGAAACCTTCCTGGATGCACCTAACAAATTCTGCCCCATCAAAGACTCTGGCAGTAAGGGAGTCCCAGTCAATATTGGGGAAGTTATAATCACCCACTACAAACAACTCATGTTTTTCTACATCTTTTCACCATCTGCTTATGTATCTGTTCTGTTACTTGCCCTTAGGCTATTGGGAGGCCTATTGTATAGCCCCCATCATAGTGATTGCACCTTTCTTATTCTTGAGTTCTACCCCTATGGCCTTGCTAGTTGAGCCCTCCAAGATGTCCTATCTTAGTACAGCTGTGATGTTCTCCTTAATCAGTAATGAAATTTCCCCACCCCTTTTACAATCCCCTCTATCATGCCTGAAACATCTAAATCCTGGAATGTTGAGCTGCCAGTCCTGCACTTTCCTTCTCTCAACCAATGAGCATCCAGTCTGTCCTTCTCTCGACCAATAAGCTGCCAGTCCTGCCCTTCTCTCAATCAAGAATGTTTCCTCAATGGAACTTTTATTGCCTACAATTAATTGACAGCTTTATGAGCAGGTAAGAGAAGAAATGTTTTCACAGGAGGGGAGCGTTGAATGATTATTGATTTTGCTTCCCAAATTGACACTATATTTCCACTGTAATTTACATCTCTTCTGAGATAACGTAAACCACGTGAAGCTTAAACAACAAGTCTTACTCCATCAAATTGAAGGGGTATTGAAATGCTCACACCTGCAATGGAGCCAGTAAGAGCAGAAATGCTCTGTATGGACTTGCTACATGTCCCATTAATCTGTGCTGGGAAGAACTGCCAGAAATGGGGATGGGGCAAGAATCTTAAAAACATTTTTTTAAGACTGCCATTTTCAAAGACCTTCTTACTCAACCTGAACTCCACAAAATCTCGATCTTAACACATGGAGGTGAAATTGAAGACGTGATAGTAGCTCAAGAATATAGACTGATTGGAAATAGACCATTTGAAAATAGGTACAGCAGTGTCTGATCATGATAGAACATGATCAGATGAAACTGATAGATTAATGATGTTTTGGACTGAGAAGAAGTAATTCACATTGATGGGGAAGAGGAGGTACATATCTGTTAAGAGACATCATGGGGGTGGGTGATAGATTTTAGCAGGAATTAAAAACTGAAAAGTTTGCATTCATATACAGCCTTCCAAAACCACCAAAAATCTCAAAGTTCTTTAATATTGTGAAGATCTGTTAAACAAAATATTAATTTGTAGTCTGCTTGACTAGACACAAATATATACATGGTGTGCTCATTTAAAGTCAGGGCTGCGTTCCTGAAAATTGCAACCTTGAATGAAACGACTTTAAGAGAAGCATGAATTCCCTTTGGAATCCATGTTAAAATTGGAGTTAGGTTCTGGAGGCATTCCTTAGAAAAAAGATTCAAGCATGATACATGTCTCCTCTAAATTGAAACTGAGTATTTTAAATTCCTAATTCTTACATTGGTAAATGAAATAACTATTAAAGCAAAATCACAAATGTGCAAGAAACGTGTAATATTCTACTTACAGTGGAGAGTAGAGCCAAGTGGACTGTTAACTGCAAAGGATGGGCCTTTGCACTCAGGGCTCAGGGCTGTTTGCTGTTCCTTTTCCTGGCTGCACACCGCCCCCCTACTCTAGTGCTGGCCAGCGCTCTGAGGTTTCTGCAACAGATCATGGCTCATGGCTGGTGGGGGAAGCACAGGGGAGCAGCTGAATTTTGCCTAGGCTGTGATGATGGCCACTGTGGTCCAGGTGAAGATCAGCGACTCTCCTGTGGTGTTTACCTGGTTGTAGGCTGCAGACAGGGCTGGGGCAGCCTGCATTCTGGGTGCTGCTTGGGGAAGGAGGTGTTGGGGGCAGGGCCTGCTGAGCTCAGCAGTGCCCCATGTGCCAGGAGTAACTAGGAAGAAGTGGGCAGGGGGAAGAGGAGAAGGAGGCAGGGCAAAAATAGGAAAGGAGAGAAGACGTGGGTGCAGGAGAGGTCAGGAGAGAAGCAGAGGAGCGGTGTGGAAGGGGGTAGGAGGGTTGCAGGAGAGAGAAGCAGAGATTGGTGCAGAGAAGAGGAGAGGAGAGCGGGGGCAGGCTGCCGAGCTGGTCAATAACTCGTGCCCTGTGAGCCATCTCCATTGTGGTCCAGCAGGTCCTGCAGGGGGAGGCAGCCTGTTGGGAGATGCTGGTGGATGGTAGCTCCAGCAGGTGATCTGAAGCCTGGTGGGTAGAGGCTCCCTGGAGGGCTAAGATCTGGAATAGCAGTGAGGCACAGGGAAGGGTTGCAAGTCAGAAGGCTTGGAGTGGACTCAAATTTGAGAGCGTGAGTCACTATGAAATGGCATCAGTCGGGTCAGCTAAGGTATAATACAGTACTGCAAGCAATCTCAATATATAAGATCATAAGATAAAGAAGCAGAATTAGGCCATTTAGCCTACTGAGTCTGCACTGCTATTCAATACTGGTGACAGTTTTAGGTTGGAGTCAGTGAGTAGAGTATGTGGAGGCAATGCCCAGAGAAAAAGGGAAAAAAAGAGATTGCCAATGATAAACTTACAGTCAGATCAGTTCTGGGTGGGGTGTTAATGAGAAGTGTAAACAGTTGAAACAGAATCAGAAATTGCTGGAAAAACTCAGCAAGTCTGGCAGCATCGGTGGAGAGAAAGCAGAGTTAATATTTCGAGTCCAGTGACCCTTCCTCAGAATTCCGTTTCAGAACCAGACCTGCTGAGTTTTTAATGAGAATAATGAGATGTTAATGCACACAAAGAGGCCTCTTGCTGCAACACTAATGCATTGCCGTTCAACAATTTATGCCCTTTTTGCACTTGAGTTGGGATCCTCCTCATTAACCATCTCACACATTGCCTATATGGTTCAATGACTAGGAAGTTTCTGCCCAAAATCCAAGATAACTTGCCTTCAGGAACAATGTCTTTCTCTAAAACATCTCCCATCAAAATGTGTGAATAATTGGAGTGTTCTTAAAGGTTTTTAGATCTTAGATGTTAGATTTTATTGTCTTGTGGATTCAAGTGCAAAAATACTGGAGTACAGTGAAAAGTGTATAATTTTGCCACACCTACGCCATCTTAGATACAAAAATACCAGGTACAAAAAAATGTATGTACAAGGTAGTAAGAGAAACAAGAGTTAAAAAGTTAAGCACTACTTCATAGAACAGTAGAAAAGTAAATAAGTAGGTAATAGTTTTCATTAAAGTCTTTAGTAGTTTAAACTAGGAAAAGAAAGGAATAAATTAAAAGTTCAGCAGTCTTTGATGAGTTATCTGTGTAGCTCGCTCTGCTGTCTGTTCTCAAAGACGCCACCACAGATACCATCACTGCTGCTGCTGAAACTGCCACCTCTCCAATCTCCCCCTATGCCTCAGGAACATGCCCGGGCAGGATCCATTCACACACTGAGCTGAGACACTGCCAATGAGCCACCACGAGACCGAACGACATACCACCAACATATAAGGCTGAGAGATGCTGAGTGACCAGGCTGGGAACCATCTCGAGCCGCCGAGAGACCAGACTGAGAGACCCCAAGAGACCAGGCTGAGAGACGCTGAGAGACCAGACTGAGAGACCCCAAGTGACCAGGCTGAGAGACGCTAAGAGACCAGACTGAGAGGCCCCAAGAAATGCTGAGAGACCAGACTGAGAGACCCCAAGAGACCAGGCTGAGAGACGCTGAGAGACCAGACTGAGAGACCCCAAGTGACCAGGCTGAGAGACGCTGAGAGGCCAGACTGAGAGACCCCAAGAGACCAGGCTGAGAGACGCTGAGAGAACAGACTGAGAGACCCCAAGAGACCAGGCTGAGAGACGCTGAGAGGCTAGGCCAGGACCCACCACAAGGAGAATTCTGTATCTATATCGTTGTCTAACTGAGACAGTTTTTCTCAGCTAGCCATAACTGATCCAGGAAGACATTCCAATGTCAATAGCTTAAATGCAAAATGAAATTGGGTACCAACTAATATTTTCGTCATCTGTGGATAATTATATTCCCTGAGTTTAACTGTTACTTGATCAAAGTGCTTTTAAGATAACATGGTGCAGAGTTTTATATTTCTCCCCAAAACGAGGAGATTATGTGTGTGTTTTTCAAGAAGGCAAAGTGTATATTTTTGTAAAATTTATACATTTTGTTAATAATCTTTTTATATTTGCTTCAGTAAGTTTTGTTTGCAATAAACCTGTTCTTATTTGTTACCAAAGCAACATTGCTAAAAGGAAACATAAAAGCCAAACATTTTATCTTGCTCTCATCAAAACTAGGAAGCAAAAAACAGACTCGAAAAACTGACTTGTTTCTTGTGTTCTCATCCTTGGTGTGCAAGACAAAAAAAAACTTTAAAGTTTTTATTTCCTTTTAACAATGTTTAAGTTCAGTACTAACAAATAATTACTTAAGGAACCTGACTGACTTTTTTCTGACACTAAGCAACGTACAGATGGCTGTATATATGATCAGTAGTAGTACCTTTCCTCTTAATTTCAATGAGTGGCATAATAAGAGAAGGAAAGGAATCAGTTTCCCCCTTCTAGCTGGGTTATAACAACAGCCAGTCATCATTTTGAAGCATATTCACTTTTATAATGTTGGATCTGTGCCAGCTAATTTGCACACAGCAAGCTCCAACAAACCAAAATGCGATAATGACCAGATAATTTATTCTTAAGTGGCGTTGTATAAATACTGGCCAAGACATTAGTGATAACTCCCCTGAGAAACACTGACATGCAATCGTTTGTGTCCATCTGAGAGGGTGGATGGAGCCTTGGTTTAATGTCTCATCCAAAAGATTGCACCAGTCATAATGCAGCACACTCTTGTTCTGCACTGAAATAGCAACCTTGATTTTTCATATCGAGGCCTGAAGAACTGGGTGAACAATCACAAAATGGTAGAATACAGAAGGAGCAATTTGGTTTATCATCACTGCGCTGTTTTTTCGATGGAACCAACTGTGGTCCCTATAATAGATCGTACTGGTTTAAAGGGCTCAGAGTGAATTCACCCCAAATCAATTGTGCGAGTCTCCCAGGGAGCCACATTCATGACTGCACTGGAAAGTCAAGGACCATACCCTGCCTCAAGGACAAACAACAGGCAGCAGTAAAAGTCAAATTAAATATGAAGAGCTCCAACCTTTCTAAGTCTAAAGTGTAATCATTTCTAACATATGGTTCACTTGTCAATTGCTGTGTCCCCTTTTTACCAACTCACCTTACACTGGAATTTGTTTCTCCTAATTTTTTAATCAAAATGTGTCATTAATTTGAACACTTCTATAAATTCTCTGATTAACCTTCTCTGTGTAGAATCACTGCTGTATCTCTAGTCTTGCCATGTAACTGCAGTTTTTCATCATTGATAACGTTGTCATGAACCTCTAACTGGAGCTGAGCCAAATTATAAGCACAACCTCCTTGCTTTTGGTCTCTGTGCCTCTTGATAAAACCAACAATCCTATATGTCTTTGCTCAACTTGCCCTGATACCTTCAAAGAATTGTGTATGCATACACTACGGTCCCTTCGTTTCTCTGAAATCTTTGGAATTGTATCATGTATTTTCTATTGCCAAAAGGAATCACTTCACACTTTTATATGGTAAATCTCAACCAAGATTTCTCTGTGTTTTTCACCATCGAAATCATCTTGAAATCTAATTACAGTTCTTCTCATTGTTTACTGCAGTCCCAAATGTTGTATCAACTGCAATCCAGGAAATAATGTCCTATAAAGTGCAGACTATAAATATATATCAAACAGAATAGTGGGCCTAATGTTGACTCTGGGAAACAGCGTATGAATTTTCCTTCAGTTTGAACAAAAAGCTGTGAACCAAATTATGCTTTCTGGCCCCAAATCAATTTTGTACCAGACTGCCATTACCGCTAAAGTCCCATGGTCCTTAGTTTTGGTAACAAGCCTGTGATGTAGCATTTTACCACATGCCTCTTGCAACTCTATACACGCAGCATCAATCACATTACCCTTATCCACGCTTTACCTAATTTCATTGAAAGACTCACTACAGTTTTTCAAAAATGATCCGCATTTAATAAGTCTATGTAGGAAAGAAAATTTCTATTGTGGAACCTAGGTTGGATGGAGAATAAAGTTGGAAAAATTGGAGGCAGTAGGAAGATGGCCCTAGTATATGAACAGTCCATGGATTCTTTTCATTGTGTGTTTGAGGCAAAGATAGAAGTATTGAAAAAGAGTCGCCTAATGGAACATGCCAACTTGAACTGGCTATAGTATTTGACAAAATCTGCACTGTGTGTAATTTGAAACTGCATGAGTAGTTCAAATGTAACTGTTTTTAAATCTTGAACTGAGATCAGAATTGAAGTGGATACTGTATGTGCACTGTGTGCCTGTGTAGGATTTCAAACAGTAATAGAAAAGGAATGTTTGGCTCATCCGTGTCTAGTTTGATCCTGAAGTATTAAAAAATTTTGATTGGGAAACAAATAGGTGATGAACCTTTAGCTCGTTAAGTCACATACAGCATTTGGCAGAGAGTTTGATCTTGAACAATGTGTATCATAGTCTGCTGCCTTTGAACTTGTAACGTTGGCTGTTTGTACTGTATTTTGGAAAATAAGGCAGGGACAAAGCAGTAAGTCAACAGTGGCATGAATACTTTAACAACAGAAGTTGAAAAGGAAGTTCATGAGGGACCTGGAGGTTGACTTTTATTTTATAGGATCAGAGGTAAAAGTAAGGAAGAATTTGCAGTGGCAACTTCTGTTCTTGCAAAATATTTCAAAATGTTTTGTATAAATTATTTCGCACAAATGTAGTTTCTTTTATAACGTTGGCAAATGGGATATCTAATTTGCACACAGCAGAATTCCATAAACAGTAATAAGACAAATGCCTGGTTCATCCACGGTATGGTTGTTGATATTAATTGAGGAAATAATGTTACCCGGCTTCCTTCTTCAATACTGACTTCAGGTTGGGGACGCGGGTGGTGCGGCTTTGTCTTTGTTCAAGGCCTGAAGCCCCATCAGCAGCATTACTTCCGGAACCTGGAAGTAATGGTGGCAAGATCCTGGAAGGGATTAAGTTGCTGCCTCTGAGAGTCCAGACCAATTCAGGTTGGCAGGAAGGTTTCTGAGGCTTATGTGCTGACAGGAGGCCATTCAGTACTGAAAAGGTTGGCAGCCCGACTGTCTGTAGCCGAAGAGAGAGAACAAGAGCAGTATGCTGCAGTTATGTGGTACTTTTCATATCAGCATGTCCCAGAATACTTTACAACTGCGAAAATATTTTTGGAGTGCAAACATTGTTGCTATATGGCCAAACACAGTGGCTATTTTGGACACAGCAACGGCTGACAAACAGCACTCGAATAATTTCAGGCAGAGATAAGGGTGCATTGATGTGTCCGAGGGAATGTGGATTGAGTGAGTAATGAGAAAGCAGTTAGAAATACCCCCTTATGTTGAAGTGTTAAGTGGAATATCCATGGATGTAGATAGAAAATTAATAAACACATTTGATTTTGTCGGTTTTTATCTTCTGACTAGATCACCAGCTTGCTAAGCCAGTACATTAAAAAAAAAGGGTCTATAGGCCACTCGTTCGTCCACAGGATATCTAAGCTCCAGTACGTTGCTAATTCTGTGATGTTGTGGTTTTCTTTTAGGTAATATTCACTTTCAGATGATGCTGTCCTCAGGAATGTATGTTGCAGGAAAGTCAAATTTCAAATTGTCATTGAGACAATGGTGTCGATTGGATTTCACCTTACATGACAGAACGGTATGTGATGTGTCTTTACTAATGTGGGATTCATTTATTTTAATGAGAACATTTCTTACCTCTAAATGAATATGTAACTTGTTTCCATCCCTCCAGTAAGAATAAATAACATGTCTACTTAACAAAGCAACTAGCAAAGCCACTCTACTCAAATATTAACTTAATAATTCAGTGAAAAATTTTTTGAATAATGATTTTCAAAACAATCTTTTGGTTATTTACTTTTTTTGATAGATGATTTTGTCAGTCAGCTATGGCGAAAATCTGCAAGACAGAGAAGATGCATTTTATATGTAAGTTAAAATACATAATTACAAGTTATTTTAGGACTTAATTTGCTGTTAGTGCATTATTCTTAATAGTACAGTCAATAACAGTTCAATATTTTGAATATTTCTGTATACAAGAAAGAGAAATGCAATGATGTGCATCAGTTGTGTTGTTTCTTGTCAATCAGAGAGTTATCTGAGAAAATTAGATTGTTTGTTAGAGAAGTATATTGGGGAAAAAACCAGGAAGCAGACTATTCTTGATTTAATATTATATAATGAGATGGGATTAATGAATGATCTCATCATAAAGGATCATCGAGGGATGAGTGATCACAGTATGCTTGAACTTCAAATTCAGTTGAGGATGAGGAGCCAAAGTCCCACGCTCATGTTCTGATGTTAAACGAAGGTAATTGTGGCATGAGGAACAGATTTGTTCTTAGTTATTTGAGGACAGAAGGGCAAGAAGGTAGAATCACTGATGAACAATGTTTAGCATTTAAGGACATATTTAACTCCTCCCAACTAAAATATGTTCCAGAGAGAAAGGAAGACTATAAGAAGGAGGAAACATCCATAGCTAAACAAGGAGGTTAAAGATAACATAAAGGCAAAAAGTAAGGCATACCATAGTGTAAAACTCAATGGCAGGCTGGAGGATTGGTAAACTTTTAAGACCAATGAAGGGTTAGTGAAATAGTAATAAAAACAGCAAAAGTAAATTATGAAAGAAAACTTGTGCAAAATATGTTAAAAATGCACAGCAAAAGCTTTTATAAACATATAAAAAAGAAGACAGTAGCTAAAGTGAACATTGGTCCCTTAGATGACAAGACTTGGGAGTTCATAGTGGGGAACACAGCAATGGCAGAGACACTAAATCAATATTTTGCCTTAATTTTCATGATGAGGACACTGAAACCATCTCATTAGCAACAGCTAATGAAGAGGTTACAAAAAAGGAGGAACTTAAAACAATTACCATCACAAGGGAAAAGGTGCTGAGAATAATGGTCAATGGATATTTTTTGATTTAGAGGAAAGTTTATGGTGGGGCTCAGTATTGGGAACCTTGCTTTTCCTGATTTGTACCTTGGAGTGCAGGAGGCAATTTCCAAGTTTGCAGATGACACTAAAGATGGCAGAATTGTAAACTGAGAGGAAGATAGTGTAGAACTGCAAAAGGGCATTGACAAGTTGGTGAAGTGGTGGCAGATGAGGTTCAATGCAGACAAGTATGAGGTGATGCACTTTGGTCAGAAGAACACTGAAAGACATGATAAAATGGGTCATACAATTCTAGAAGGGGCGCAGAAGCAGAGGAACCTGGGTGTATTTGTGCATAGATCATTGAAGGTGGAGAGAGCAATAAATAAAGCATACAGTATTTTCAGATTCATTAATAAAGGCGTAAAGTATAGGAGCAAGAAGATGATGTTGAACATGTACAAGACACTAGTTTGACCACAACTGGAGCATTGTGTACACTAGCAGGTGCCACATAGTAGGAAAGATGCAAATGCATTGGAGAGTGTGCAGAAGAACTTTACATTGGCCATTGTGGATGTGCCATGAATCTCGTTCGAAGAACATTTAGCCAAGTAGGTAAATTCAGCCCATAGTGTCAGAGGAAAAAAATAGAGAAATCCCTGAAGGCTGGTCTATAACAAGGCAAAACATAGAACTCAACAGCCTGAACTCACTATTATGACAACGAATAACCCCTAAGTGCTTTGGAGTCCAACGTATTAAGTAACATTAGACACAAGTGTAAAGTGTAATGTGCTAGGGTCAAACAAGTGATCTTGAACCAATGATTTCCAAATCTGTCAACCACTGACATTTTTCAAGGTTATGCCTGGGTCTGTTGCAGAATGATTGATAGTGATTGATTGCTCTGATTAGGTAGCAACTCTATTGTCATTGCATTATGCAGCCACAGGCTGGAGTTTGGTTTTTATTGCCAATAAGTTCCTATGACAACACAGAGTTGCTAAATGGGACAGACTTCAAACAGATCTAGCAACTTAGGACTAAAACATCCATGAGATACTGTGGGCCATCAGGAGCAGCAGAATTGTATTCCAGCACAATCTGCAACCTCCTGACCTGGCATATACCCCACTCAACCATTACTGTCAAGCAAGGAATCAACCCTAGTTCAATGGAGAGTACAGGAGGGCATGCCAGGAGCAGCACAACGCATAACAAAAAAATGAGGTGTCAACCTGGTGAAACCACCAAACAGAACTACTTGCATGCGAAACAACATAAGCAGCAAGTGATAGACAGAACTAAGCAATCCCACAACCAACAGATCAGATTTAAACTCTGCAGTCCTGCCACATCCACTCATGAAAGGTGGATAATTAAACAACTCACTGGAGGAGGAAGCTGCATAAATATGCCCATTATCAATGATGGAAGAGCCCAACACATCAGTGCAGGAGATAATACTGAAGCTTTCACAGCAATCTTCAACCAGAAGTGCCAAATGGATGATCCATCTTGTCCTCCTCCAGTGGTTCCCAGCATTACAGATACCAGTCTTCAGCCAATTTGATTCACTCCATGTGATATCAAGAAATGGTTAGAGGCACTGGATACTGCAAAGGCTACGGGCCCTGACAACATTCTGGCAATAGGACTGAAGACCTGTGTTTCAGAATTTGCCGCACCCTTAGCCAAGCTTTTCCACGACAGTTACAACACAAGCATCTACCTGATAATATGGAAAATTGCCAAGGTATGTCCTATACATGAAAAGCAGGACAAATCCAACCCAGCCCATCAGTCTACTTTCAATCATTAGTAAAGTGATAGAAGGTGTCATCAACAGCGCTATCAAGTAGCACCTGCTCAGCAATAACCTGCTCAGCGACACCCAGTTTGGGATCTGCCAGAGCCACTCAGCTACTGACCTCATCACAGCCTTGGTTCAAATATGGACAAAAGAGCTGAATTCCAGAGGTGCGGTGAGAGTGACAGCCCTTGACATCAAGGCCAACTTCAACCGAGTGTGACATCAAGGAGCCGTAAAAAAAACTGGAAGTAGTGGGTATCAGGGGGAAAACTCTTCACTGGTTTGAGTCATACCTGGCACACAGGAAGATAGCTGTGGTTGTTGGAGGTCAGTCATGTCAGCTCCAGGACATCTCTGCAGGAGTTCCTCAGGGTAGTGTCCTAGGCCCAACCATCTTCAGCTGCTTTACCAATGGCCTTCCCTCCATCATAAGGTCAGAAGTGGGGATGTTTGCTGATGATTGCACAATGTTCAGCACCATTCACGACTCTTCAGATACCGAAGCAGTCCATGTTCAAATGGAACAAGGTCTGGAAAATATCCAGGCTTTGCTAAGCACAAATACCAGGCAACAACCAACTCCAATAAGAGACAATCTAACCAGCACCCCTTAACATTCAATGCAGTTACCATCACTGAATCCCTCACTACCAACATCTTTGGAGTTACCATTGAGCAGAAACTCAACTGAAATAACCACATAAACACAGTGGCTACAAGAGCAAGTCAGAGGCTAGGAATACTCCTGACCCATCTCCTGAGTCCCCAAAGCCTGTCCACCATCTACAAGACAGAAGTCATGAATGTGGTGGAATACTCACCACTTGCATGGAACGAAACTCACAAAGCTTGACACTATCCAGGACAAAGCAGCCCCCTTGATTGACACCACATCCACAAACATCCACTCCCTCCACCAGCAATGCTCAGTAGCAGCAGTGTGTACTATCTACAAGATGCACTTCAGAAATTCACTAAAGATCCTGAGGCAGCCCTTTCCAAACTCACGACCACTTCCATCTTGGACAAAGGCAACAGAGACATGAGCAGAGCAAACAGAGCCAGTCACCATCTTGTCTTGGAAATATATCGCCATTCCTTCACTGTCACTGTGCCAAAATTTTGGAATTCCCTCCCTGAGAGCATTGTGGGTCAACCTATAGTATGCGGACTGCAGTTGTTCAAGAAGGCACCTCACTACCACCTTCTCAAGGATAACTAGGGAAGGGCATGAAGTGCTGGTCCACTCAGCGATACCCACGTACGTGACTGAATAATTTAAAAAATCATCATTCAGATCAATGTGGACTTCACAAGCTTCAAAATCTCCCCTCCCCCTACCACATCCCAAAACCAGCCCAGCTTGTCCCCACCTCCCTAACCTGTCCTTCCTCCCACCTATCCCCTCCTCCCACCTCAAACCCCACCCCCATCTCCTACCTGCTAGCCTCATCCCGCCCCTTGACCTGTCCGTCCTCCCTGGACTGACCTATCCCCTTGCTAACCCCCCACCTACACTCACCTTTACTGGCTCCACCCCCACCTCTTTGACCTGTCTGTCTCCTCTCCACCTATCTTCTCCTTTATCCATCTTCTATCCGCCTCCCCCTCTCTCCCTGTTTATTTCAGAATCCCCTTCCCCTCCCCCATTTCTGAAGAAGGGTCTAGGCCCGAAACGTCAGCTTTCCTGCTCCTCTGATGCTGCTTGGCCTGCTGTGTTCATCCAGCTCTACACCTTGTTATCTCAGATTCTCCAGCATCTGCAGTTCCTACTGTGTCTGAAACCATTCAGAATCAGTTGTCTTTATACTTTAAGATAGAATATACTTATACTTTATACTCAATTTCTACTTTCTACTTTAATTTTGAATAAAGTTAAATTGCAACTTTCTTGAAATTCTGTGTAAGGGATATCTATATTACGTATCCAGCTTGCACAGTATGAAATATGAGATCATTTTAACCTCTTTTTCTTTAGAATAATGTAAACATCACTGGTCTTCATCTTGTGCTGCTTTCCAGCTATCCTGAAGATGTTCATCACAACGATTCAGTTGGATACTATGTGCTTGGAGGCAGCAATCATGTACGTGGTTTTGAAGGATTCATTGGCCCTGTGAAGTTATACCGACTAGTCACCCTAACAAGTGAAAAGGTAAATTTTGAACTGCAAGCATGTGACACACACACACACACACACACATACACACACACAAGTTTGCTGGAAAAGTTCAGCAGGTCTGGCAGCAGCTGTGAAGAAAAAATCAGAGTTAACGTTTCAGGTCCCGGTGACCCTTCCTCAGAACTCAGAATGTTTGGATCTGTTTGTTTACTAGTCACTCACCAATAATGTTATGGAGATTAATACAGAGCTGCTTCAAGAATATTGTGGAAGAGGAACTCATAAACCCAGAGTTAATACAAAAGCAAAATTTTGCAGCTGCTGAAAATCTGAGATAAATCAGACAATTTTGGGAATACCCAGTTGTTCAGACAGCATGTGCTGACACCGAATAAGAGTTAATGTTTCAGGTCTGTCCTAATGGAGATCATGGTTCGGAAGCATTAACTCTGTTTTCCTCTCCGTACGTACTACCTGACCTGCTCAGAGTTCCCTTATCAGATTGCAGCTTTACTTAGCTTTCCTTTATTCGCTTGTGGGATGTGGGCTATACCAGCTGACTAGCATTTATTGCTTGTCCATAGTTGCCCTTGAGAAGGTGATAATGAGTTGCTTTCTTGAACCGCTGCAGTCCACAATTTTTTTAAATTCAGTCATGGAATGAGGGCATTGCTGGCTGACCAGGCAGCATTTATTGCCCATCCTTAATTGCCCAGAGGGCAGTTAAGAGTCAACCACATTGCTGTGGGTCTGGAGTCATGTGTAGACCTGACCCGGTAAGGATGACAGTTTCATTCCCTGAAGGACATCAATGAAGCTGATGGGTTTTTCCAACAATCAACAATGGATTCATGTTCATTATTAGGCTCTTAATTCCAGGTGTTTATTTAATTCAAATTTGCCATCTGTTGTGGCAGAATTCGAGCCCATGCCCTAAGAGCGTGACCTGGCTCTCTGGATTAAAGAGCCTAGCAATAATATCACGAGGCCATCACCTTCCATGCTACATGCTGTAGGTTGACCCAGAGTGCTCTTCGGGAGGGATTTCCAGGATTTTGACCCAGCAACAGTGAAGGATCAGCAAAGTGTTTCCAAGTCAGGATGGTGAGTGACTTGGAAGGGAACTTGCAGGCGGTGGTGTTCCCTTGTACCTGTTGCCCTTGTCCTTCTAGATGGAATTGGTTTTGAGCTTGGAAGGTGCTATCTAAGGATCCTTGGTGAAAATCTGCAGTGTATCATTTAGATAGTACACATTGGTGCTATTGAGCATTGGTGGTGCAGGGAATGGATGTTTGTAGATGTGGTGCCAAGTGGGCTGCTTTTTCTTGGATGATGTCAAACTCCTTGAGTGTTGTCAAAGCTGCACCCATCCAGACAAGTGGGGAACGTTCTATCACACTTCTGACTCAGCGTCATAGAGTCATACAGCATGGAAACAGACCCTTCAGTCCAACTTGTCCGTGCCGACCAGATATTCTAAACTGACCTAGTCCCATTTGCCAACATTTGGCCCAAATCCTCCAAATTCTTCCTATTCATATACGTCATTCAGATGCCTTTTAAATGTTGTAATTGTACCCACCTCCACCACTTCCTCTGGCAGCTCATTCCATACACAGACCACCCTCTGTGTGTAAAAATTACCCCTTAAGTCCCTTTTAAATCATTCCCCTCTCACTTTAAACCCATGACCTCTGGTTTTGAACTCCCCTATCCCAGGGAAAAGACCTTAACTATTCATCCTATTTATGCCCCTCGTGATTTTATAAACTTCTATAAGGTCACTCTCAGTCTCTGATGCTCCAGGGAAAAGCCCCAGCCTATTTAGCCTTTCCCTATAGCTTCCCTATACTTCCAATCCCAGAAACATATATTAAGACTTTGCAGAAGAACAGAGTTTAATGGGAAAGGAATTGTCTCTTATTGAATTTGGTAAGCTGATGGTAAAAGCACAGATTCCAGGCAGCAAAGTTATTACTTTTGGTACAAAACTATAATTTTTACTGAACAGTCACAACATATACAACATTCAGTACTGCATGGACAAATAGGAATCCTTGCCTCTGGCCTCCAATCAAGCTCCATTCACTTCTTACTAAGTCCACCCCTTTCCCTCGTAACTATCTGAAATTGAGCCACTGTACACAACATTTTATCATATCTAACTCCCAAGATGAGCTTCTCATCGTGAATCTATGCTATAATGCTTGCAGATCCTCATGCCTCCCTCTTTGCAACATTGCCTGGCCTCGGCCATACTTCAGTGCATCTGTTGATGAAACCCTCATTCATGTATGTGTCACCTCCTCTCTTGACTATTTCAACATAATCCTAGCTAGTCTGCCATGTTCTAACCTCCACAAATCAGAGACCATCTAAAACTCTTCTACTGTATCTTTCCTCACACCAAGGCCAAGACCTGTGCACCCATCAGCCCTTTGCTTGCTGACCTACACTGACCGCTGGTCAAATAATATCTTAAATTTGATTAAAATCCTTGATTTCAAACACCACCATAGCCTCGTCCTTATGTTGTTCAGCCCACAATTCTTTGAAAGATCTGTACTCCGGTAATTCTGGTCTAGTGAGCCTCCCTGACTTCAATCCTCCATCACTGTTGGCCACGCCTCCAGCTGCCCAGGCCCTAAACTCTGTAATTCCTGCCTAAACCTCTCTGTCTCTCGACTTCATTTGCTTCCTTTAAGATCTATTTGGCAAAATGTTTGGCTATCTACCCTAAAATGGACTTCCCTGGTTCGGTGTTTATTTTGTTTGACAACCTTCCTGTGAAGTACTTTGCGATGTTTTATTACTTTTAATGTGGCCTTTTGTTGATAATTCAGCAGAATTACATTTATCCATTGTTGTGCAGTGTTTGAAGATCTCACCTCATTACTGTCAGAGGTTACAATGCATAGTGACATGAGCAAGTGGACTCTGTATCATTACGTTTGTTTTTAATGCAAGTTCAACTGCTACCTTACCAAACCTAATATCTTTTGTATGTCTACAGATTTCAAATCCTCTTGTAACTGATCATGAAATCCATAAACATATTGAACAGTACTATAAGAAATGCAAATATCTCACTACACTTATCATGAAGTATTTCCATAGCCTTGGATTGCACAAAAAGTTACAGCATTTGAGTAAGTAAGCTTAAGTTTGTTGACCTTATCAGGGAATGAAATTATACTCCCTCTTAGATGTATGCAAAAGAAATGTCAATCATTATGGAATATATCAATCATTTCATAAAATCTGAATGCAGAGGAACTCATTAGCTAACTAGATGTTGTAATGAGAAGCTAATGGTTTACGGATTTGCGCATTATAGGTTCTAATGAAGTACTACTCATCACCAGGAGGCCAACATCGAAGACATATGTATAAAATTAGATGTTCAGTAAATTTGTTTTGGAGACTTAGTTCTTAAAATGGCCCATAATAATTGGACTTTATAAGGCAAAGGGACAATGCTTTCTGTGCTGGATAAAAGCAGGAGATGATTTACAGTAATTCACTCACTCACATAGATTTTGCTAAAATAAAAGCAAATTACTGTGAAAATCTGAAACAAACACAGAAAATGTTGGAGGAACTCAAGAGGTCCTGTAGCATCTGTGGTGAAAGAAACAAAGTTAATGTTTTCAAGTCCAGTATAACTCTCCTTCAGATCTCAAGACATTCGCAACAGTGCTGGATTTGAACTCATGTCCTCAGAGCATTAACATAGTATTCCTGATTACTAGTGTAGTGATTTTACCATTATGCCCTGGCATTTTGATGATAGTCTAGATTTCAGTGACAAACTTATTTTGAAATGTATGTTGACATGGTCAATAAGGAGGAGAAATGTCTGCATTTTTAAAGTTTGTGCAGGGGTTCCTTTTCATTGAATTGACTGAATTTTGATTCTTGTGGATCTTATCTAATTTATGGGTAGTTCTAAGTAACTGTTTGATGTGGAACTTTTCATCATCCTACAAAGGTACATTCCAGTACTGACAGAAGAATTAACTTATAGTTTTGTGATCTAAGATATAGGAGCAGAGTTAGGCCATTCAGCCCATTGAGTTTGCTTCCCCATTCGATCATGACTGGTATGTTTCTCAACCCTGTCTCCTGCCTTTGCCTTTTAAGCCTTGATCTTGGCTGAAATACTTCTCTTGCTAGATTTTTAAATCTGTTCCTAGTGAGTATTTGCAAATTCTTTGGCTTCCAGCATATAACACTGTGTACCAATGCATTCATATCAATGTTTTGAAGACTACCTATGACATTAACTCTCCATATACTACAGATGTTAAATTTGTTTTTGAATGAATTAATTGTATAACTATTATTCCCTTTCATTCCTCTGGTATCAGTCCTGAAATTGCTATTGTGATAAAAATTTCCTGCTATTTTCCCACGGAATGATTCAAATAAAAAAGGAGTTTAATTAAAATCCTAAACGTAGCAGAACACAATAGGTTCTAGCCAAGGTACATTTTATACATTTTATCAGAAGACATTCGTAATGGAATATTCTTCACAATTTACCAGTGATTATAATTTGATTTATTTACAGATCAGAACAGCAATTATTATTTAGAGTTGGTCACAAAATATGGACCAAAAAACTATGATGAAGAAAAATGTACAGCATATCCTTGGGGGAAAAGAACTGAGAAGAAATACAAGACTTTATTTGATCTACTTCAGACAATGGCTTCAGAGCCACTTTTAGGTAAATGAAAAATGTTTTGTTAACGAGAAAATAAAAACAAAATAGGCAGTCAGTCTTGGAAATGTAATTCAATCCACTCCAAACTACAGAAATGACATCCTTTAAGTAGTTTTTTTAACACACTCAAAAATCCCACATCACATCTATATGTTAAAATATTCCTAATTTGTCATGAAAAGTTAAATTTTGCAATAAAATTGAGCACTTTTCATGTTAGAAAGGAATTTACCCTGACATTTATGTGAAGACAGATGGAATGATTATTCATTAAATTCTTATTAAGGTAATGGCTGTGTTAAAATGATGGATAAAATTATTTGTATCCTACCAACCATTGATCTGTAAGATAATCAGTCCAACATTATTGGAATAACTTAGCAGTTTACAGGGGAAACCAAATGGAAATAGTCATCATTAATTTATTAATTTCCAAAATTCAGATTTCATTTTTTATACAATTTTCAGCATTTTTACAGATCTTTTGTTGTGATCTTGTGCCTAGACTTCACTCATTCACCAAATCTACAATCTACACTCATTAAAGTTGGCGAGAAACTTTTTCAGAAGACAATGGAGATTCTTGTTCGTCCAGGGAGTGCCCAGCAGATTGACCACCTGATCACTTCACTCATGAAGGCTAGCTGCTGTGGTTACTACAGAGCAGCCTACTTCCTGGCTGTCATTTTTGAGACTGGCCTAAGTGTGGACAAACAACCATTACAGGTAAAACAAATGGCCATTGATTGCATTAATTGTGTTAAAATGAAAAGTCCATTTATTTGTATTTTTAAAAATATTTTTCTCTCTTCTTTCATTTCACCTTAATGAATTGTTGAACAGCAGGCAGGCAGTTCTAACAGCACCGTTGTGAGCTTGCTTTGAAACTCTACATTGACAGGATGAAAATCATATTCTTATTGTTTGATGGTGGCTGACAGCTAAAGCCTATCTTGATTTGTTGTTAAGTCAATGTGGATTTGACATACTTCCTAAGATCTTTACTCCATTAAAAAAAACAAGAATTACTGGACAAGAAAAGACCCAAGTGATATTATGCACAGGAATTTATGAGTCTGTCTTGCAAATTCTTGTACTTAGAACTGCAATCCTATGCAGTGGTGTAATTTAAAATTTTGACATATGTACATTTTCTGTGCTTACAATGGCTGCTTTATATTGTCCTGAGTTGTGTTCCAACTTGTCTACAAATCAACTTGCAAAGGGGTTCCAGAATGGAGCCCATTTGCAACATGGGGGCTGCCTGTAACTATGCTAGCATTTGTTGACTAATTATAGCAATGAGTCTCCGTCAGTTAGTCTAGATCAGATCCAGACATGTGGGGATGAAAATCCTGGCTGTCAAAAGTCAGCTATTTCTCCCAGATATGCTACACTTACCTTGCCATGTCTCAAATTACTTGTATAGCATATGTGATAATCATATTTTCTCCTGGAAATCTGCCTAATTCATATTTGAATGAGTGAATACCATGAGGTTTGAGCATTGTCCTCCAGAGGAACATGCCACAGATTGACATCTCTCTCAGGAAGATTTCCTTGGGGCTGAGAAAAGAGCACTGGGAGGTCGGGGTAGGGATAAAGTGATGGTGATTTTTAGACAGAGCAGTCTAAGTCATGAATTTACCAGATCCAGCTGTCTTGTAGAATTTAACTGCAGGTTGCCTTTTTCATAGTTTTCTCAAAACATCTCCTGCCTGACAGCCAACCAGATTGACAGATGAGTTACTAGCAGACAGGATGGAAGCCGGGGGAGCTGAAACCAGGTCTGACTTTATGGGTTGGTGGTTAGTCAGATGTCCTTGGAAGTCAGGCAAGTGGGTGTGATTTTTCGACAGAGGAAGTATTGACCCCTAAAACTGCAAGGTTGATCAATTTGAAAGTTGTCCAGCACAGCCTTGAGGTGACCTGATCATTAGTGTGGTGTCAGCTGATGGGGGGTCCAAAGGGAGGGGTAATCTTGTTGGACTTTGAAGATACGCTCCAGATGCTTCTTCCCCACAAGTAGGGCATTGAAGGCATAGACCTCATGGATCCAATTCTTTTCCCACCTCCTGACTGCCTGAATTTGTGATTTCAATGATATCCCAACATCCTTGTGTTAATACTGATAATAATCTCTGATAATAAAGAACGAACTTTTTTTTCCAAATGATTTTTAGTTCCTAACTCATTCTGAAATCAAGCTTTGCTTCCAGTGTGAAGCAGCCTTGATTTGCCCTCTTGTGGCAATGTGGTAATGTCCCTACTCCTAGACTGGGAGGTCAGGGTTCAAGTCCCACGTGCTCCAAAAGGCATGTAATAACATCTCTGAACACATTGATTAGCAAAATAGATTAAACCCAAAAGGGAGCATGTTGAAGGTTAGTTTGGAGTTTTAAATATGTATTTTCCTTCATTTCCAATCCTTTCCATTTCCAAGTTAAAATTATAGCAGGCACTGATGCCTTCTAATGGATTTTACTGAGAGTGCATTTAATGTATTCCAGTAGCAAGGCAAAACACAAGGCTCTAATTTGAAAATGTGTTTAGAAATAACAAAACGTACTGCAGCCCATTACAGAATTGCAACATAGTTTATGCCATTGATACTACATTTCAACATATGGGTGAGAATATGAAATTAGTGCAAATAACTTTGTGTACCTTCCATATTCTCTGGATGCATTGAAAAGGATTACTTTGAGAAATATCCATGCTGTAAGAGATGTCCTTGCATCTGTCCAGATCACAGAAAGCTGTGCTTCCAGAGAGGGGTAAACAAGTCTCACTTGACTGATGATTATATTACATACATGGAGACATAATTGAAGCTATAGACCAGATAGAACAGGGTTATGTGATTGAAACTGGAGAACACTGTTTCCTTTCTAGTCCCACTACGTCACTCCTCATAACGGTATGGTGATTGGGCTAATTATGGAAGTTTTAGACTGTATCTTGTTTAACGTCAGAAACAATTCTGCCAGGTTTCTTTCCTCAATAAAGAACAGCTAGGTTGTTACAAATAAAGCTGAAACAAACATACAATGAGTATTGGTTTAGATTGCTCTTTGTACATTCTAAATCTATCAGGCTTGTGTTCTAACATCACAAATTTGACATGAGGCAAATATGGGCAACTATGGTCGAATACCCCACAGAATATATCAAATAGTAAATGCTGTCAAACAGATCCTGTGGATTACTCAGCAATTCCCCCAGATGTTATTAACACTGAGGGTCAAAAATGGTATTAAACTTCACAAGGGATTATGATTCTTTACATTTAATGACCTAGCTTTGAAACACCCTCAAAGGCCATGGGCTGCCTCAATGACTGCTCATGTTCTTGTTGTTTGCCATTCTTTCCAGGGACTGATGTCATCCAGATTCTTCAGGAAACTTTACTTAATCACAAACACATCTCTAGATTTGACAAACAGCAAGCTTCACCAAGTTAGCATGGTCCTTGGATTTGTTTCCTGAGCTCTAATCTGGCTCCGTTATGCAAGCAAATTGTACTTGCGGGTTTTCAAACTTACTCTGCTACATTGAAGTATTAATTGTGTGTATGCACCTTTCAGACTTTTTACAGCTGCTTGGATTTCCCTAAGTCCTCACTGCACGGAGCTATGAACTATTCTGGGAGTTCCCTTAGCACCAACTTCATCAAACCTGCACAGTTCAGTCGTCATTAGCACCACAGCCAATAGGAGCACTGTCTAACATAGGGTCTCCATTGTTTTCACACTGTCTCTCTTACACACACTGAGCAATGACTTCCAGTTTCACTGGCTATCACCTTTAAACTCCAATTCAGTCACCCCGAACTGAAGATCTATTGAAACTAGGCAGCGTGGTGACTCAGTGGTTAGCACTGCTGCCTCACAGGGCTAGGGACCCGGTTAGGTTCCACCCTTGGGCAACTGTCTGTGTGGAGTTTGCACATTCTCCCCGTGTCTGCGTGGGTTTCCTCCGGGTGCCCCAGTTTCCTCCCACAGTCCAAAGATGTGCAGGTTAGGTGGGTTGGCCATGCTAAATTGCCCATAGTGTTCTGAAATGTGAAGATTAGGTGGGTTATAGGGTGATCGGTCTGGGTGGGATGCTCTAAGGGTCGGTGTGGACTTTTTGAGCCAAAGGGCCTGTTTTCCACACTGTAGGGATGCTATGACCTTTGCAGCAGGCCTTCATCACTATTGCTGTGCAGAACGGAATGGAAGTAATATTTTAGGACAGTCAAGTATAGTACCCTTAGAACAGTGTGTACTACTGAATGTTACACTTTGCCAAGTGTTGTCTCACAAATTGACAAAACAAAAAAAATTCATTGCACAGTAGTAAGATTAATAAAATATATAAAAGCATAACTAAACATAAATTTGAAAACGATAATTAGGTTATTCCTTAGGACACATTAAGATGGAAGGTCAGGCGGCGTATCAAGTTTGCAGCATGTTGAAGTTTCTGGATTGGCCCAGACTGACCCAGAGCAAGCACATCTGAAATGAATGCCTGAGGTTTGAGCAGCTTAAATCAAAGGTTATGAGCTAGTAGCTGAACTACAGACACTGCAATGCATCAGGGCCAGGGAAAGTTTTACCTGGGTTCTTTGTACCAGGAGGCATTTACAACCCTTAAGGTTAGATCATCTGATTTGCTCAGTGTTCAGGGACAGGAGAGTATGATTGCAACTGGGGCAAGGTAAGGGGCAGGAGCCTCAACCTTGCAATTCCCCTTCATGGACATTTCAGACCTGGGGGTATCACTGTTTAAAAATCAGAGATCACCCATTAAAAACAGAGATGAGGCCAAAAAAGATCTCCTAGTGATGTGAATCTTTGGAACTTTCTCCCTGAACAGATGGTGGGAGCAGAGTCCTTGAATATTTTTAAGGATGAGATAGATAAACTTTTGAAAGTTTTTTTTGGGTGAGAGGTTATCTGGGGTAGGCGAGAGTTACAATTTGAGGTTAAAATCAGATCAGCCGTAATCTTTTTGAATGGCGGAACAGGCTGAAGGAGTTGAATGGCCCATTCTTGCTCTTTATTTGTATGATTATGTGACTCCGTTTCACAAAAAGAAGATAGCCATTTCGGACTGAGATTAGGAAAAGTTTCACTCAAAGGAAGCTTTGATTTGATTTGATTTATTGTTCTCACATGTACCAAGACATAGTGAAAAGTGTTGTTTTGTGTGCTACACAGGCAGATTGTACCATACAAAGTGCATCAGATAGCAGAATAAAGTGCAGAATACGGTGTTACAGCCACAGAAAAGGTGCAGAGAGAGATCAACATTAACATTTGAGAGGTCTGTTGAAAAGTCTGATAAAAGCAGGGAAGAAGCTGTTCTTGAATCTGTTCTTACACGTTTTTCAAACTTTTATATGTGACGCCTGATGGAAGAGGGTGGAAGAGAATATGACTGGGGTGGGAGGGGTCTTTGATCATATTGGTTGCTTTCCTGAGGCAGTGGGAATTATAGACGGAGTCAATGGATGTTGTATCTGATGAATATTCTGCAACAGAAATCTGTGGAACCTCAGTCTTTGAGTATGTTTACGATTGAGATTAATAGATCTTAACATATCAAAACATCAAGGGATACAGGGATTGTGCAGGAAAGTGGTGTTGAAGTAGAACTTAAGTCATGATCTCATTGAATGGTGGAGCAAGCTTGAAGGGCTGGGTAACCTACTTCTGTTCCTATTGTTTATGTTCAACATATGAACATATGAATTTCTAATGAGCCATATCGTTGAATGCCTGCATGGACTCACACCAACCCGAATATGTCTGCAAATTACACACCACCTGTAAAATTCAGCCCCTTGCCTCATCTTACGTGTCATTATTTGGCAAGGTTTTAATTCATGAATGTATCTTTTTCCCGAAGTTACATGTATATGTTTCTGTTTGCAACAGAGTTAAATAATCTGTCAGTCATCAAAAACGTACGTACAAAGCCTAGGGATCAATCTCTCGATTGCTTGTTTTTTTAGCTCAGTGAGGGAAAACTTATGAGGGAAAAGGTAATATACAACTTCTTGAAATACATTTTTGTAATCACTCTTCCATTAAAAATAGAATTTCATTGATATTTCATCAGGGCTTGCTGTACAGTCTGGTTGCTGCACAAGGAAATGAGAGACTTGCCTTAATGCATCTTGGATATAAGCATTATCAAGGTGTTGATGGTTACCCCTTGGACTACGATATGTCGTATGGTTACTACTCAAACATTGCAAAACACACTGTTCATGAACGGCATGTATTTGATGGAGAACAGGTAGGTATTATGGACTTAAGTAAGACGCACAATAAAATGTGGAGTTGAAAATTCAATGATTGCAGAATGCTATTTGATTTGGGAAATCTCACTGTCAGAATCAACTTTTAAAAAATCAGTTTTGAAGAATTCTAAATATTTTCAATTGTTTTTCAATTTGTGAAGATGTTTCTCAGAGTACAGCTTAGAAGGAGGTTGACAGCTTCCTTTGTGAGGTTACTGAATTTAGATGCAGCTAAGTTATGGGCTACATTTGTACTTCTGAATTGATGCAGTTTGTAGTTGATGGATTCCTCACTGACATCAGAGATTGCTGTATAAAACGAATTATTAAAACCAAATCAAAATTAATAATAATACTTTAGAGGTTTTTCAGAAGGGGACTGATATTGAAGTTGTGAATCCTGATGGTTATGAATACGTGCTTTAAGGGATGATATCACTAATTGAAGGTGAACCAAATTCAACCAATTGTGCATATTTTTTAATACTTACATTTGAAGCATTGGGAGGTGTTGGGTGGCTAGTGGTATTAAGAATCAATGCCTACCTGAATTTATAACAATCTTTCATTTGCTATGAGGAATTAATATTCTTAAACAGTGGGTTGAATTGTCCTGAAATTTGCCTGTGTAGGTTTTGTAGTGTTTCTTAGGGAGTTTCCTTGTGGAGTTTTACACTTCTCACCTTGTTAAATATGAACTATACCTCCCTGGCCCTGATCTCATGCAGTCCTGCACTCACCACTGGCAGAAATGCTCACCACTGCCTGGACCTTACAGCGTTCTCACCACTGCCACCATATTTAAGGTCCAACTATGCAGTTCAGATAGTGCAAGGCAGGAAATAGATTTCACAATTCTACACTGTGAAAAATCACCCTGGAGATGGCTGATAAAGGAAAATTGTCACCTGTTTTTAGAGTAAGTCGCACAGTCAAAGTGAGGGAGGCTTTGCCTGAGTGAGCGAGACAGAAACAGCTTCTGAGAATTTGAGTTAAAGTCGGAATTTTGGGCAGAGGGGTAAGGAGAGTATTTAATTATGGTTTACTGATAGAAATAAAGTCTCCAGTGCAAGAGGTGGGCAGGAGAGGAAAGAAGACACAGATGGAGATGTGTACCTGCACTGAGACCAATGGCATCATGATGTTACAAATGCAGAGACAGCAGCTGACTGAGGAGCAGGATTGATTAACATTTCAAATCTGTAAAGTGAATTATGGATATTTAGAGATAGTAAGAACTGCTGATGTTGGAGTCAGAAATAACACAGTGTGGAGCTGGAGGAACACAGCAGGCCAGGCAGCGTCAGAGGAACAGGAAAGCTGATGTTTTGGGTCGGGACCCTTCTTCAGAAATGGGAAGGGGGAGGGGAACTCAGAAATAAACAGAGAGGAGGGATGGGGCTGGGGAAGGTAGGTGGGATGGTGATAGGTGAGTGCAGGTAGGGAGTGGTGGGGATTGGTTAGTGAGGTGGGAGGGGCGGATAGTGGGAGAGAAGATGGACAAGTTGTGTCAGGGCAAGGATTTTGAAACTGGTAAAGTCCATGTTTAGGCCATCGGGCTGTAGGCTCCTGAGGCAGAATATGAGGTGCTGCTCCTCCAGTTTGCGGGTGGTGTCATTGTGACACTGGAGGAGGCCCAGGATGGACATGTCACCCAGGGAGTGGGAAGGGGAGTTAAAATGCTTCGCGACCAGAAGGTGTTGTTGTTTGTCGCAAACAGAGCGCAAATGTTCTACAAAACGGTCTCTGAGTCTCCATTTGGTCTCACCAATGTAGAAGAGGCCACATCGGGAGCAGCGGATGCAGTAGACCAAGTTGGCGGATGTGCAGGTGAACCCATGCCTGATGTCGAAGGTTTGCTTTTTGCATTTAATGGAGGCATGGGGCAGGTGTAGCATTTCCTGCGGTTGCAGGGAAAGGTGCCGGGGGTGGTCGGGTTAGTGGGGTTAGCGGGGAGTGTGGAGTGGATGAGGGAGTCGCAGAGAGAACGGTCCCTATGAAAGGCAGATAGGGGTGGGGAGGAAAATATATCTTTAACCTGTACTGGGTAGGCACCTGATTAATGCAATTGCCACTCGAAGAGCCTCAACAGTAGAGCCCATTCTTCGTGTGGTGGCAGCCATTTTCCATTTCCATTTCCATTGTGCATTTGAGATTTGAACAAGGTTGATAGACCACATAGGAGACTTCACAAAGTGAAGTTACAAGCTCAGCCTATAAATCTTGCTGACCCCGCCCCACCTCAAAACCATCATGTGGTTTTTTCCTCTGCACAGCCTGTTAACCCCATCAGGTTTGAGCTTCCACACATTCCCACCCAATCCTTTTATTTAAGTATGTATCTTCCGACTTTACAACCTTAAGCCAGGCCTACAGGTTAGTAATGTCACACGTCATTATGCTTTGCCCCCCAGTTAAAGCATCAATGACTCCTCCTCCCATGGTACCTGATGCCATCAATCTGCAGAGTAACTTTCCCCAATCGAAAATGGCTGTATGTGTCTGCAATGTCTTCTGAGCCAATAGGAGAATCAATATTGTAATTATGTATATGTACACGTACATAATAGGAATGTGATAGCCTGGTGGTATTATTGCTGGACTGTTCACCCAGAGGCCCAGGCAGTGTTCTAGGGATCCAGATTCAAATCCCAATGGAATTAAGGGTCTAACAATGACTATGAAACCATTGTCGATTGGAAGGAAAAGCACATCTGGTTCACTAATGTCCTTAGGCAATAAAACTGCCATCCTTACATGGTCTGGCCTACATGTGACTCCAGACCCACAGTAATGTGGTTGACACTTAGCTGCCCTTTGGATGGGCAATGAATGCTGGCCTAGCCAGTGATGTCCACATCCTGTGAATGAATGAATGAATAAATTGAAAAAAAACAATATTATCAATTTTCTGAAGAAGGGTCCAGACCCGAAACGTCAGCTTTCCTGCTCTTCTGATGCTGCCTGGCCCACTGTGTTCCTCCAGCTCCACACCTTGTTATTTCAGACTCCAGCATTGGCAGTTCCTACTATCTTTGAATATTATCAATTTGTTTTGACACAAAACATCTGTCTTGTATAATTTAATTTTGCTGAAATTTGAGATTTTATTTATGTGTTACAAATTTTTCCAACATGTTATTTTGCCACGACTGTCTCAACCTATCCTGTAATAATATAATTTCCAACCTTTTCAGGCTTTTGTTGAAACAATACGGCTAATGGATGATTCAGCTTTACAGAGTCAAACTAAAGAAAATGATGACCTCTTTTTATGGCTCAGGTACCAGGCGAATCATGGGGATGCATTTGCTCAGGCATGTGTTGCATATACTGTAATATTTTTGCTTTATTTTTTTCATTCACACATTTTGCTGAATCATCAGAAGCCATGACTGTGTACTGCTGCTACTTTAATAAAAGCACTGGATTCTGTGATTGATTTAATGTTATACTGCTTCAGTGTAGCTAAAGAGTGGTGGACGTGAATTTGTGCTGATATTTACTGTATGCAAGTTACTGATCTTGGTGATTTATTAAGAGGAAGTACTCAGTGGAATCATGATATTTTACCAGTGTAAACAAAAGGCATTGGGTAAATTGCAAATTACCTTTTAGATAAAAAACTAGTATCTATTGTTGAGAGAGGGAGGAGTGAAAGATAAAGCCATCTGATCAGACATTTAAACCAGAGTTATCCTCTGCAGGGCTATTCTTCTTTTGACTGCATATTTGTACTTGGTGTTATATAACATGAAAGGCATCAAATCTGATGATTTCTGATTTGTAGGTGATTTGTGGGTTACCATTTCCACTGCGATATCGTCAAAAGAGATTTACATTTTCCCACCCTGGGGATTGATGGTTGAGAACACCTACCTCCACCCATATGATCCCACCCTACTGCTGAAATTCTCATCGATGTTTTTTGCACTTTCAGATTTGACTCTTTTAGTGCCCTCCTAGCTGTCTGTGCATTTTCCACAATAGTTTATCCACAACTCTGCTGTTAATACCAGGTCTGCCAGGTCTGGCAGCATCTGTGGCAAAAGAAACAGAGTTAACATTTTGAGTGTGTTATGAGTCTTCTTCCTCTATTCTGAAGAACAGACAAATATCCTATCCTGCACCAAATCCTGCTCACACGTTATATGTTCTTGCCGACTACACTTCCTTCCAGACTCCAAACGTTAAAAATTAAAACTCCAATCTTAATATTTGGAATCCTGTATGGCCTTGCCTTTCCCTAACTCTGTAACATTCACTCATCCTCCATTCTTTTCTGACCTCACTTTTCCTCAGAAGATGGTTTTTGGTGCATTATTCATCCTTTTCCCTTTACTGTTGGCAGTCATGCTGCCTAGGCCACATGCTTTAGAATTCTCTCCCTAAATCTTGTCTTCCTCTCCACGTTTCTCTCCTTCATTTAAATTCTTCCTTGCAATTTACCTCTTTGATTGAGGTCCTGGTCCAATTATCTTCCCCATTGGCTTGGTGTCTATGTTTTAGATTTTACCTCATCAACATGTCTTGGGATACAAGTTGTTGTTGATTGTGAAGAACTACATTGTGAAGTGAAAGGATTGTGAATAAATTGACCACAGGAAGGAAATCTGAATTTCTGTGTTCCTCAACTATAACAAAAATATTGTATTTTAATTCATCAGATACTATGGAAAAAGTATTGTAACTATGCTTTAAATAACATTTAAATTAGTTAAAAATTTTAGTTGTCCTATTCTAGCCAAATAAAGTTAATTAACACTTGCAGCAAAAACTCGCGAGAATGCTTTACTGGGGACAGCAAGGTGTCACACGTGATGTGAAAGCTGCTTTGGAATGGTATTCTAGAAGTGCAGAAGAGACAAGAGACCCATTATCATTGTACGAGTATGGACTTTTTCTTTTCAAGGTAGGTATCACATGTTTAGACTACTCCACATTCCTTCTCACTTATATTGGATTCAATTACTCTATAAATGATTTCAGTTATTTTGCTTCTTTTGGAGTTAAACCACTCTGCGAACTGACAAGAAGTTACAGATCTGAAATGTGAACTCTCTTTTTCTCTTTACAGGTCCTATGCGACCTGCTCAGTTTTTTTCTGTACGTTCTGTTTTTATAACACTGAGTTAACCCTCATTTAGTATATTCACTCTACTGTGATTTAAATTACTTTTAGGGCAGAGGAGTGAAAAAAAATACAAAATTAGGCTTAAAACTGATCAATGAAGCTGCTTCTAAGGTAAGATATTTGTACAACATAAACATGTGCATTGCTAAACGTTTTTTATTTATCTACTTTAATTTCACATTGTAAGATTTGAGAATCCTGCAGTAATTATTAGTGCTAACATTCAGCATATAGGCCGAGCATTCCATTAGAACAGTACAAAGTACTCGTAAATGTTGAACAGCTTTGTGTATTGCAGTGAATTATGTTAAATCTAAAACACAGAAGCAGGTGAGTCACCTTAACTAGTTTTCCTGGGATTTATACATTATACCAGCTTCTTGCAACTTTTGTGATCTCTTCCCATCATTTCCCTGTATTCCTCTTTCCCCTCATTATGCTTCAAGTCTTCCCTTGTATATGTCAGTGCTATTTGCTTCAAACACTCCAAGCGAGTTCCAAATTCTCCCCAGAATTCTGTCATTATTCATATTTCACACAGTCTGTTCTAATTATCTGTCTAAGTGAGGGTGCCAAATTAATGCTGGGCTATTGGCCTTTCATTATTGCTGGTGATATGCTCTCAGATTAGGAAAATTAATTTGATTTGATCCTTCTTGAACTGAAAACAAAAGTCTTTCATTAATTTACTTGATCTGAAACTGTTGGCTGTAAATTCTGTACAGGGGAGCACCCTAGAAGGAAGATCAGCAGCAAGCTGACTGGCCAGTCAGTCCTGCAACAGGAAAGTGTTCTGGGTGAGCTGAGTGAGTTTCTGTTGGGACTTCTGCCCCTCACTGGGAGGAAGATCTGCCCTGGGAGCTGCTGGCCTATTTGATTGGCCGGCAGCTTCAGCGGCCCCAGCAATGCCCGAAATAGGCACTGGATGCCGCTAGGTCTGTAGGCAGACCCACGAAGAAGGCCCCATTGATTCCAAAGGAAAGTAAGTCCAGGGCTTTGGGCAAATGGAATTTCAATACTTTGAAAGGTGGATGTGGGTTTCGCTCTATGGGTAGGTAGGAAGGCAGGGGAGTTGCTATTTCCTCAGGAGGATTTGCCACTGATGGGCAAGGGGCACCCTCCAATGGTAGCAGCCTTCTTCCCTTCTAATAGTTAAAGCAGTTTGATGGAGAGGATTGACCCATATCGTGCCAACTGTTTCATGGCATAGCAACATAATATTGGAGTCAATTGAGGTTTTAATAAGCTTTGCTAATTCTGGTGCCCTCCCACTCTCTGTATCATGGGGAGTAAGCTTAAGTGAGTGGGAGGTGGTGTGCTAGCCACTCACCCAATAATACATGCCCGCCTTGCCCAAACCTCATCCAACATTGGCACATGATATCCAGCCCCATGTTCTGAAGAGGAAAGGGCTGTATTTCAAGCCCACTGTATCATTATTGAAACATAAGATGGTGTAAATACATGATTATGTTCAAATGAATTATGTCTAAAGTTAATTTTTAATTGATTCAGGGATCACATGAAGCGCTGAATGGTTTGGGATGGTACTATGAAACCTTTAAGAAGGACTACGTGAAAGCTGTGGAGTACTGGGAGCAAGCAATGAAAATGGGAAATCTGGATGCGTCACATAATCTTGGAGTGATGTATGAAGCTGGACTGTACCCAGGCAAACCTGTGAAAAACGAGGTAAATATCTGCAAATTTCTGACCACGTCTTTATCTTGTTCATGTCTTCATTATCAAAACCAAACTATACTTCTGTTTATTTTTTTAAAATCTTGCATTTATTCATTCCTTTACAATCTCCCTTATGAAATCATAAAACCTCTTTGATAGAGCTATCCGATTTATGCCTCTCACTCCTGCTACTCTTTCCCTTGGCCCTGCGGGTATATGTCTCATTTTCTTACAAAAGTTAATATTGATTCTGTCCCCATCATCCTTTCAGGCAGTGCTTTCCATATCATAACAACTGATCTTTTTTTTTAAACATAACTTGTTTGTCCCCTGAATTTTTGCCAATTCAATCTCTGACCCATAACCAACTCTCCTGCACCAGAAATAGTTTTGCTATATCTGGTCAAGTTGTAGATTCTATTTTAAGATCAGTGCACGTTTGAAGAACAGAGACTCTCCAGCCAGAAATCATGTTGCTGTGTGCTTGCCCATGTGCTGCAATTATTCAATATTGTAAAGTCAAAGCCACACAAGGTGTCTTGTTGCATTTTCTTAAAATTGTCAGGGAGAACTTCACTACAATGTCAGCAGTATAAGTGTTATCACAGGCTTAAGAATGTGAAGAAGTGCGAGCGGGAGTGTGCAATGTGGCTCCTAGCTGGTGCATCATTTAATAAGCCCCGGTTTCCTCCCATAGTCCTAAGGTATGCAGGGTAGGTGGATTGGCCATGCTAAATTGCCCATAGTGTTCAGGGATGTGTAGATTAGGTGGGTTATAGGGGGATGGGTCTGGGTGGGATGTTGTGTGGGTCGGTGTGGACTTCTTGGGCCGAAGGGCTTGTTTCCACACTGTAGGGATTCTGTTCTATTCTATTCTAAGATTGTGCCTGGTAAAGTCAAACCTGTCACCTATTTCCATTGGTTCTTTATCCTCTTTTACGTATCAGTGAAATTTTGATAGCAGAATTTCCAAAATTGCATATGCCAATGTAAATGTTGACTCACAATGATTCAGGTCAGATTATAACTGGTTTCAATTTATGTAATAACCGTAAGTTGTCACAATTATATTTTGGTACCCCTTCACAGAGTGATTAGATATTTCCAGTGAATAGCTAAATCTAATTTCCTTTCCTCTATTAATAGATTATGGCCCAGATCTACCAGTTTCTGTATTATTAAAATTTGGCCTTAATTTGGGAGATGTGTGTCAATACGTTGTAAAATTGCTGTCACACACAGACACACCCACATGCTGAAATTGTCAGGAAAGTTTAAGCTTTCAGTGGTCTGATTTCCACTACAAGGGACTGTCTGTATGTATCTCCCCCACTGAGCTCAGAGCTAGAGACACAGGACTCCCTGTGTAATTACCTTGGAATTGGCATATTTATCAATACCTGGTTTAATTCAGAGATTAGCCGGTGCCAAGCATCTGAACGCCACAACCACCCACCCCAATCACACAGCCTGAACTGTACAGTTTTGGTTCCCTAATTTAAGGGAAGAAATAAATACTGGCTTTGGAGTAAGTCCAGAGAAAGTTCACTAGGTTGATCTTGGGAATGGAGAGATTTTCTATGGAGAGAGAATGAGTAGGTCAAGCTTGTACTCTTTGGACTTCAAAATATAACCGGTGACCATATTAAAATAAATAAGATTTTTAGGGGACTGGGTAGGTAGATGGGAAAGGATTTGCCCCCTTGTGTGAAAGTTTAGGACCAAAGGCCATGATCTCCGAATAAGGGTCACCCATTTAAAACAAAAATGAGGAGGAATTTTTTTCTCTCAGAGGGTAGAAAATCTGTGGAATTCTTTACCATAGAGGGCTGTCGGGACTCAGTTCTTAAGTATAATAAAGGCTGTGAGAGACAGATTTCTACTCATTAAGGATGTGAAAAATTATGGGGAAAAGGCAGCAAAGTGGAGTTGAGGGTTATCAGATTAGCCATGATTTCATTGAATGGTGAAGCAGATGTGTGGGCCAAAAGGCTTCCTTCTGCTCAAACATCTTATGGTTTTAATGGTCTTATGACGAATTCTCTCCCAACCTGAAACAAGTACCCTCCTCGACCTGACCCAAATTCCCCACAACTTTACCGACCCGACCCCATCTGACTCTTCCATCACCATCAACCATCTCCCAAATTGACCGAATTAATGCCAAACTCCATCTGACTTGAATCTCTCTCCCAGCACCAGCTACCCCTCCTGACTGCTAGTCCCACCAACCCAATCCAACCCAGCCCAATCCTCTCAGAACTACTCTCCTGACCTGACCGAACTGCTCATTTATTCATATACCCTCCCATCCGCTCACCCACCCATGTATCCTCCCACTCACTCACCCACCGCAAGACTTAAAATCTTCTAAAAATTGTGTACACAGCAGCTAATATGAAAAATTGGCGTGACCTCTCTTTGCCTGTTGTGACCAGCAAGCATCAGTCTTCTGCAGGAAGAGCAACACTGACTTCTCTGCTGTCACCAAGATTGCGAGTCTGGGCTAAAAATGTGCAAAAAAAGGCCTGATCACAGAAGTGTTTGCAGGCAATGGCAATTCATACAGCAGCAAAACTGACTTGAAGAGCTGGCTATGACATGCATTTATCTCATGAGTTTGTTTGCGTTACACATAATTTTAGTCATTCCTTTGTTTGATGTATCCACTCTGCAGAAATGTGAACTTTTAAATGATATGGAATGATTGGGCTGTATGAAGGAATTTGTACGTTTTCAACATAAAATCCACGTAGCATCCTTTGACCATCTTTTTTAATTCACTAAAACCTCTTTGGTGGTCTTCAGGTTTACGTGTCACTTGAAATATCATGAAAAGGCTTTCTATTTCAAAAAGTACCTTTTTTTGCTTCTTTATTGAACAATGCACAATGCAGGAAACTCTCAACATGCACTAATAGATCCATCTTTATTCTAGTCATAGCCTGTCAGTCACAGATTTTTCCACTTGAGGACATCTTTTCAAATGGATTAATTATGACAGAGCTCCCAATTAAACTGGATTACAATATAATACTTAAGGAAGTGCTTCACATAACTATTACTTTAATAATGCTTTTATTAGAAATCAGCATTTACTTACAAACATCAGTCAGATGGGTGTGCATCTCACTGCTGAGTACACTTATCCTCCATCTGCTGTTTGATCATAATGCTCATGAATGATTTTCAAATATCTTGTCCAACCATCGCTTTTCAACAGATGTTGTCTCACCAATTGGGAAAAGGAACAGGATCATTTTATGGATTTTTAAAAACAGTTTTTGGATCTCATATGTGTTTGTGGTAAGATTTTGTATTTCACAGTAATTCGCAGAGTCACAAAATTGTTACAGCACAAATGGAGGCAATTCACCTTGCACCGATTCTATTACTTAGTGACAATCTCGTGCATTTTGCTCATACCCTATAGCACAATTTCTGTCTAAATAGTCATCCAATATCCTCTTGAATGCATCATTTGAACTTACCTCCACCACATTTCCAGGCAGTACGTTCCATACCCTAACTGCTCACTGAGTAAAGAAGTTACTCATAATCTTTGTTTGTTCATCATTTTTAAGTCTATGCCCTCTCATTCTTTTTCCTGTTATGAGTGAGAACAGCTTCTCTCTATCTACACTGTATAATCCATTCATGAATTTGAAAACCTCTGTCAAAATTCCTTCTCTCCATGAGAACTTTTTTCACTTTTTTTTCCACTGCAGAGTAGAAGGTTGACCTTATAAAAGTTTATAAAATAATGAGGGGTATAGATGGAGTTAATGGTAGTTGTTATTTCCCTAGGATGTGAAATTTCAAGACTTGGGGGCACATTTTAAAGGTGAGAGGGGAGAGATTTAAGAAAGACATGAGGCGCAAACGTTTTACATTGAGGATAGTTCACATGTGAAATGAACTTCCTGAGGAAGTGGTGGATGTGGGCACAATTACAATGTTTAATGTACACTTTGATAAGTACATGAATAGTTAAGGTTTGGAGGGATATGAGCCAGGAGCAGGCAGGTGGGACTAGTTTAGTTTGGGATTATGTTCGGACTGGTTGGACTGAAGGGTTTGTTTCCATGCTGTATGACTGTATGAGAACAGTGCCAACTTCTTCAATCTACCCTTATAATTGATTATAATAATTGTAGATCAATTATAGATAGATGTGCTCCAAAGTTGTTTCCATCGGTTAAAACCTAAGCCTAATTTTTAAAACTATGATTCTGTTCCATTTCAATAATCAGATTTAACATGTTATATGATTGGAGCATCAAGGACTAATAGATGGTGAATCTCTATTGTTTCTGGATTTTCCTAACAAATTAGTGCGCTTAGAAGTGATGACAATCGAGGTCGGTGGTAGAAAAGTTAATATTGGTGCTAATAATATATAATTTAACTAAATTTATAATTATTGAAGAAGTTCTCAATTAGAAACTTTCCTATTTTTAATGCATTTCACATGAAAATTGCATGGAAGTAATTTAGTTCTCACACTGCCTGGAAAGGTCTCTGAACTTGCAGAGCTCCATAGGCCACAGCTTGAGAGCTACTGCATTGTATCACAGGTAAGGTAAAGTCCCCATTGTCCCAGAGGGGACCATGCAGCTGCTCTCTCAATAACGAGACACAACTGATGGTGGGTTTAACCAGAGGGTCACCATGCCTCCAGTGAGGTGCAAGGTTGAGAAAGCAGAACCTTCATGGTAACTTCAGCTGGTACAGGAATTGAACTCATGCTGTTGGCATTACTCTGTATTGCAAACCTAGATGTCCAGCCAACTGAGCTAACTGATACCTGTGTTGGGTTATGCCTCATGGTCAATGTGTCAGTGTACCTTTAAAAGTCATATTGGTGACATTGTCATTGTATGATTGCATTGGGACCTAAGAGTATAGAGATTACAAGTTCAAGCTCAATGCAGATGACTTTAAGCATAACACACAAATGGGAGCAAACTGCTCTGTAATATTTATATATTTGTGTGTCATAATAAATATCTGTTGGATTATTCTATACTAGGTTATCTACTTCTACTCTCTTACGTTACATGGATAACTTAAGCATTGGTGGTGCGTGTATGGAATGAGCTGCCAGAGGAAGTGGTGGAGGCTGGCACAATTACAACATTTAAAAGGCATCTAGATGGGTATATGAACAGGAAGAGTCTAGGGGGATATGGGCCAAATGCTGGCAAATGGGACAAAGTCTAATTGGGCAGCCTGGGCGATGCAGATGAGTTAGACTGAAGGGTCTGCTGTATGTCTCTACGACTCATTGCTGCTTAAGGTGAAGATAGCCTGCTGACACCCATGTCACACTGCTGTAAGATAAGAATCTAAAATGGAAATGAGAAAAACCTGTGAATGCTTGTCTGGCATCCAGTTATGGATGAGCAGAAATATAGTCCAACAAAATATTGGGAAGACAGAAATCGTGCTCTATGATCCCCTCTACAAGTTCACAAAAAAGACTATGGCTTCTTTCCTCTTCGTGAAAACTGACTACGGCTAAACCTGACCATTATGAACCTTCATTTTATATTTGAAACCAAACCAGCTTTGACCATCCACGGAGTTGTTCACCTCTTCACAGTGAACTCCTGGCTGGCCTCCCACCTTCTGGCCTACTGACATTTGAGCTTAATTAAATCTCTGCTGCATGCATCTGAACTGACCCCAAGTCCCATTCATGCAACAGTCCTGGGCTCACTGACTTAAACTGGTTTCTGGTCAATGGTTCCATTTTGCAGTTCTCATCCTTGACTCTAAATCAGTCCCTAGCTTTACTTATTCTCTCTGTCTCTTTCTAACCATCTCCAGCCTTACAATCATCTGAGGTCCTCCAATGTTGTTCTCTTGCACACCTTGATTTTTAAATACTCCATCCTGGGTGGTTGTGCCTCAGCTCCTGGAATCCTAAATCTCCCATCTTTCCCACCTTCTCATTCCCATTCCTCCCTCTCCCTCTCTAGCCTCCTTTATAAAATGTTCTTTAAAACCTACCTTTGTGACCAAACTCTATATCTCCTTATGTGGTGAATTAAACTTTGTTTGCTGGCACATTTGGCGTTAATAAAATATGAAATTCATTATATAAGTACAAATGTGCAACTCCTACCAATTATTTTCGCAGACTGCAATACAATTATTTGGTCCTCATTACTTTTATGTGCCCTTGGTTTACTAGTGAATAATTACGTGGGAATATCTTGCTCAGATCGTGTTCAGGAATTTCCTCAGAACTTCTGTTCCTTCATTGTCACAATCAGAAGTACTGTTCAAATTCTCTTCACCCACATCCAATTTTCCATTGCAATTGTGGCAACTTTACACTGCTTCAAGAAAATTCCCTGTCTCAGGAATTTGCTGTATCTGAATAACTTTTATTAAAATGATATTTATTTTATGTTTTTTTACTAGACAGAAGCATTTCAATATTACTATAAAGCTGGATCTGGTGGACACTTTGAAAGTATAATTCGCTGTTCCTTTTATTGGAGTACAGGAAACTTTGAGTCTATTCCACATAACCCCAGAATGGCAGTCCTGTAAGATAAACATTATAGATTCTTTCTTTGCAATATTTGATAGTAAATAACTGTATTAAAGTCATCGATTTTTTTTGTGCTTTTTCCATGACAGTTGGGCCAGATTTGTTGCTGAAAACAATGGATTTTTGGGTTATTTCATGAGAAAAGCTATGGATGCCTATCTTCAGAAATCCTGGTAAGATGAAGAGCTGTGTCCTTAGATCCCTGTGATTGTAGACATTGCACTTTTTCAAGACTGTAGTTCAGTTTTGTTTCTTTGTTTCATATCTAGTGCACGAGGAATTAAATTTAATTACAATTAACAGATTTTCCATTCCATAGTTCACAGTCAGAAAATATTCTGTTTACTGACAATTGGAGAGTTTTAACAGACTCACATGAGTAAAGTGACACTTTAAGAGCGTGTCAACATTATTTTTGTACTTTAGAAATTGATAGTGCCTAAATAAACTTCAAAATTTAAATAATGCTATATCCCACTTCTAATGTTCGACAACAAACTAAGGAAGCTAAGAGCTAAGGCATTTACCAAGAATTAAAGATTTCAATTATTTCTTTTGATGTCCTATGGTATCCATAAAATTTTACCTATTGTATATCGTTACTCACTAGAAAATTGTAAAATTTGATAAATTCATCTAATCACTTCCATTTTGATGTGTTATAATAGTAGGTGACTAATTGCATTACATCTACATTGATTTTCAATCTTCTGTATTTTCACACCCACACAATTTTTATTGTTATTGAAATTGTCAGAACAATTAGCACTCTTGCTGAAACAGAATTTGTTCCCGTGTTTTCTGAAAATTTAATGACATACTTCTCAAATCTAATTTAGATTGTGCATTGTTGCTAATGCAGAACAATTGGTGAATTTGCTTATTGCAGAAAGTTCTCATTAAAAGTAATCAACATTTCTATATTTAGAAACTCAACATTTCAAATATGCCAAATTATTTCTTTTGATGCATTTTTAAAAAAAAACTATAATCTCAACTGTCCCAGGAGTGAAGCTTTGCTGTATTTCCTCGTGACAGCAGAAACAGGAATTGAAACATCACAGACAAATGTTGCTTATCTCTGTGAACAACACCCTGTAAGTAACTGCTCATTGATATTTTGATAGCTTTTGTTGAAAATTCAGGACTTATGTTTTTCATTTGCATGAGCAGAAATTAAAAACTTATCTTCAAATTTATTTTGATTAGGATCTCACAAACAGCAGTGTTGATTATATGTGGAGATATTATAATTTATCAGCATTTCAACAGACAACACATCCTTTTGGTATGTATACTGTGGAGATCTGCTCTGACTTGAAATCACACTTCCAGTAAATAGCAACATATTAATCCACTTTTTAATTATGTGTAACTTTCAGTTTTAATAAAAATGGGAGATTACTACTATTATGGTCACAACAACCATAAAAAAGATATCACGCAAGCAATTGAGATGTACACCTCTGCTGCTTTATTGAATTGTTCCCAAGTGAGTATTAATATTCTAGTTGTTCATAGTCAGCAAATTCCATATGTATTTAAGTGTTATTTATCCATAATGTTTTTTATTACCTTCCACAGGCATTTTATAATTTGGGTTCACTTGTAGAGGAGGGTGTCCACATACCAGAAAAAAATTTAGACCTTCTAAACATGCGAACAGCAAATCATTCCAGCAACTCCTCAATCCTGCTGGAATTATATGGAAGGTAAACCAAAATGTCCTTTACAAACATTCCAATCTTTATTTCAAATTGTGGATTAATCTGTTCAGTACAATTGGACTCCTAAGCCCATTTGTGCTTCAGATTTCTGAAGATTTTCCCTGTTTAAAAAATAGTCTACGCCTCTATTCTTCCTATCAAAGAACGCAACTTCACAACTTCCCACCTTCCCACAATGCATTGCATCCACCACTTCTTTGCCCAATCTCCTAGTCTGTTCAAGTCTTTCTGCACCCTTCCTGTCTTCTCATTGTCAGTCAGGCTGCAAAAAGATATAAAGACAAGAGTTGGACACAATATCAGAAGTAAAGAAAATGAACTATAACCTAATTAAGAGCAGAGGTAGAACTGTTCACAGTATTCTGGTATCTTTTATAGTTTTAGCAAGACTTGCCTATTTTTATGCTCTATTCCCTTTGAAATAAAAACCAATGTTCTGTTTGCCTCCCCAATAGCTGCTGAATTTGTATGTTAGCTTTCTGTGATTCACGGATGTGGATGCCCCCAAATCCCTCTGTTCTGTAGCTTTCTGCAGTCTTTCTCTATTTAAATAGTATTCAGTTCTTACATTCTTTCTGCCAAAGCACAGAACCTTACAGTTTCCTACATTATATTCCATATGTCAGGTTATATTTATGCCTGTATTTAAATTTAGCGACATTGTTTCCAATCCAGTTCAAGAGTGAGTTGAAGGTGTCAAAAATGTCATGGATCATCTGAATTATGAATGTTATATACGAGACCCTCAATTCCATGATGAATTAACGGTATGGTATGGAAGTCACTGAGTGCCTGTGCTAACACTTCCATTGTAGATACAACAAGAGGATTAAAACTCTACCTGCCAATGGACAATAGACATCTTCAGGAGGTTTTAATGCCACTATTGACAAACCTTTGCTATCCTTCACGATTTTCTTTTGATTCACTAGTAATAAAATAAACGCCGTTTTCCATATTTGTTTATGGGAATTATTATTATTATTATCTCAAAACAAATTAAACTTGGAAGACTTTTTTAATACACCAGTATGTATTCAAATCTTCATATCACCAACCCAAGAGCTACTATCAGTTGATTACCTACTGCACAGGAACTGCAGTGGTTTAAGAAGGCAGCTTCCGACCACCTTCTGAGGGCAACTAAGGATAGACAATAAATGCTGGCCAGCCAGCAAAGCCCACATCCCGTGAGTGAATAAAAAATCTCAGTCCTGAGATGATTGACTAGAATCCATGGTTGTTCTGCATTATAAAACGGTGAATGGCCATACAATAACAGCATGATAATTCAATTTCAGTTTGAGTTGTTGGCTCTGCAATGTGTAAACTCATTTCACTTTCTCTGTTTTTCAAGGTGTATCACTGTAGATATGGAAGAGGGTTTTGTCCCATGCTCCATGGCTTTGCTTTGTGTCCACCTGAAAATCATATGGAGGAATATCTGCTCTGCAGCTTTCGTATGTATTCCACAAACATGTGATCATACTTTATGATGAGATAGTAGGAACTGCCGATGCTGGAGAATCTGAGATAACAAGGTGTAGAGCTGGATGAACACAGCAGGCTAAGCAGCATCAGAGGAGCAGGAAAGCTGACGTTTCAGGTCTGGACCCTTCTTCTGA